GGAGGCGGGGTAGACGGAGCCGGTTGTGCAGAGGTGGAGGGCTTTGGAGGTGCTGTTACAGGTATCTTGTCAGTACTGTTTCATGTATCAACAACGCAGTAGGTGAAAGGTGGACTCACCCAATCAACTTTGGCAACCAGAAACTGCTCGCTGCCTCCATCACCAGTCCTCTTCGGGCGAACACAAATCCAATCTTGGCGTCCTTGTAGGCGATTCGGATGTTCATTGGCAGTGTCATCGTAATGCCTACGCCCACTGCAGCGCCTTGTACAGCTGCAATAGTTGGTTTCCGACACCTGTTGATGGCCATGGTCACTCGACCTCCTCCATCTCGGTGATCCCGTACTGCTTCTTCACCTCCTACAAATCCGGTATCCAAGTCTGCGCCGGCGCAGAACATCTTGCCAGTTCCCGTCTGGACAATGCATTTTACGCGGTCGTCGATGTCGAACAGGGTGTAAGCGTGCTCGAGCTCACGCATCATGGTGGGAGTGAAGGCATTGTATTTCTTGGGGCGGTAGAGCGTGACGAGCTGGACTGGTGTGACTTCTTTGGCATTTTCGGGGACGTTTGTTACTCTGATCTCAGTGAAGCCGATGTCTGCATAGTTTCTGGGAATGGGAAGCTCGACGAGAGACGGCGATTCGACGTATTGGGAGCCCTTGCCTGAGCCGGACATGGTGGTTGCTGTGTTGTGGTGTTTTGTGATCGTTCAAGGAAATAGCGAAAGACGGTTCTTACAACAATACTTGCGATGATCTATAGCAAAATGGCAGTACGGTCGTCAAACAGTGCTAACCACGGCAATTGCTGCATGTGGTAGAGCTCCAAAGCTACTCGAAGCTCACGAGTCTGGCTGTATTGAGGAGGATCCGGGGCTTTGCCGAGGTTTGCTGACTGTACAGATCCTCATCACGTGTGGCCGTTGACCTTCCTGTCTGAGGCATCCGTTTGTCTCCTTGTACTTCCCAGCAGTTCGGCTCCTCAATGCCGGCGGAGTGTTGATAAACCCTGGCACCTGCGGTATGCCAGTCACGATTGCGTCTGGATCTACGCCTAAAGGCGCACAAGCTGTGGTTTATCAGGCAAATCTGCTGTTGCTTTCGGTTCCGCTCGTTACCGAAGCTGCGAATCCACCACTGCAATGTTCGAGTTTCGAGGTTTAAGTGGCAAGCTGAGAGCCAAGTACAATATGGTCCATGCCACGCGACATAGGCGTTTTCTTTTTGAGCAGGACCCAGATTGAGATATCCGACTTTGCAAGATGGTGCCTCCGCTAATCGCCCTGGAGGAGCACTTCCTCTCGACTGCTGTTCTCGATGCGTTTGACGATCAGTATTCGGAGCAGTTCAAGGCCATACCTGGAGTCAAGGAGAAGCTCACCGACATCGATGGCCTTCGGCTGGATGAGATGGAAAAAGGTGGCATCACATTTCAGGTCATCTCACATGCCTGCGCTCCTGGAGGCCCCAGTCCGGAGATGTGCAGGGAAGGCAACGATCAGCTGGCAGGCGCAGTGAGAAAACATCCAAACCGGTTCGCGGGCTTTGCAGTACTGCCCGTGGGCAACCCAGAGGAGTCAGCAGTTGAGCTCGAGCGATGTGTCAAGGACCTGGGCTTTCCTGGCGCCATGATTGACAATCATGTGAATGGAAAGTACTTTGACGGCGACGAGTACGATGTGATGTGGCAAAAGGCAGAGGAGCTGGACGTGGCCATCTATCTGCATCCTACGTGGCCTGCCGACAACATGATGCATTCGTACACCGGAAACTTCTCAGAGGGCGCAAGCCGGAGTATGGGCGCATCTGGATGGGGTTGGCACTCGGAAACGGGGCTGCACATTCTCAGACTGTACGCTGCTGGGCTCTTCGACAAGTTTCCCAGACTCAAGATCATTATTGGGCATTTCGGTGAAATGCTTCCGTTCATGCTGCAACGTGTGTCGAATCTCAGCAGCCGGTGGGGTGACCAGAAGCGGAAGCTGCTCCAGGTTTGGGACGAGAACATCTGGATCACGACATCTGGAGTCTGGAGTCTAGATCCGCTGAAGTGCATCCTCGGAAATACGAGAATTGACCACGTCCTATTCAGCGTGGACTATCCGTTTGAGAAGAATGAGAATGGCCGCAAATGGATGCAGGAGCTGGAACAGAGTGGTTTGGTGAATGGAGAGGAGCTCGAAATGATCGCCTACAAGAACTCTGCCAAACTGCTGAAGATCGAGCTGCCGCAGGCGACCAATGGGGCCAACGGCACGAACGGCATCAATGGGATGAACGGCCACTGATTGCACGGCGGGTTCCGCGATGCTTCGCGCGTGCCGTCTTACCAGCGCGGCGCGGTGTGACGGACAGAGTCGGATGCATGGTGGCGAGGGGTACAGCAGAATTTCAGCACACAAAGACTGTGGTAATAGCATCTGATATAGATTGACGATGAGACGAGTGACGAGTAATGAATAATATGAGGTTCTTGTTGGATTCTTTGGCAACGAGACAGCTTGCAAAGATATATGCCACCGAGCATAGCCGTCTTGCAGGGATGCAGCGGTACCTGCCTTAGCTTCCCATCGCTTGCATGAGAACAACCAACCTCTTTCCTCTTTACAGCAGCCACACCAACCTGCATGTCTGCCTATTATCCTGTGCATCTGCAAGCAATTTTGTGAACTACTTCTCTTGCATACCGGTTGCCTCGATGAATCCTCCAAGCTGCACCCACGAGGTGGCAAGAATCAGAGTTGCTTGGCGGTCGAGGGGCGTCGCGTACCAACCCGATCACTATCACGACCAGCGGATCATCCTCCATCAAGGCTAGGGCGCGGCATCCGCTTGGTCTGTGAAACAGCTTTGCCCTTGCATCCGCATCCGCGACAAGCCACGATCCCCTCAACACGGCGTCGCCCTTGACTCAAAGGAGCGACTGAAATGTCGGTCCCGTGACTTCGCGTGAGTATCGGGTTTCCGCCCGCCCAATTAGCAGCAACCTCCTCTGCAACCACTTTACGCGGACCAGTCACGTCGACTCGTGACCCTGCTGCGTATTTTGCTTGACTTTCCGCCCGTCGCATCGCACGCCAGGGCGGCCGTGTTGCATAGCAGGCAAACCGACGCCAGCCTGGCCTCGTTTCCGCCGCCGTTTGGCCCTGATGCGGGCTGTGTTGCCTAAGCAGCACCGGGCGCAGGAAGTATAAGTACCCACCCTCTCCTCCACCTCCCACGCCCCGTCCTGGGTGCTTGCTCTTTCATACTAAGGCATCTGTGTTGCCTTGCCTTGCCAAACTCATCTACTAACGAACAGCCAATATGTTTTCCGTGAGCAAGAGAGACAAGTCGTACAGAGACAGCTTTTCGCATCGAGCTGGAAAATCGATGAGCAGTAAGAGGCAAAAGTCGTTCAAAGAATATGGCACATCGAAACGCATCAGCACGATACAACCAGTCGTACAACAGCCGTCTGCGCAATCGTCACCGAGAAGTGCCAGCTCTCCCACATCACCGTAGGTCATTCTTTACAGGCAATCTATTCCTAGCTTACACCGTGCAGAAATCTCAACTCCGCCATCGTCACCATCGCCATCGGATCAGAACAGAGACTATTTGCTGCTCACGAGGATGTCCTGTCGAAGTCCCCTGCGTTCGCCCAACAGATTCGCAAACAATTCTTCGAATCAAACGGCAAGCGTATCGATATACCAAACGAACTCCCCGAGGTCTTTTCAGCAATACTAGAGTACTTATACAAAGGCGACTACACACCCAAGCTTGAGTACGACAAGAAACATCAGAGCTGGTTTCTTGATGATGGAGATGCCGCGAACGGGATGACAGAGAGCACGGTCCGCACATCTGACAATCATGTCGTCCTCAAAGACACTGTTATCTACGTAAGCCTGTTCTCATGTTGCGCTTCACCATCGTGGCCATACTAAGATCGTACAGTGCTCGGCAGCTCGTTATGGCCTGGCCGACCTTCAACGACTGGCATTGAAGAAGCAAGGACTGCAATCTGGAGTGCAATGCGGCACAATCTTGTCGTCAGCTCGCTATGCCTATGCTAACACGCCGGCATCCGATTCAAAGCTTCGAGCACATTACCTCGCCCTCATCATCCGGAGTCGCAGCACGTTCAAGCGTAGCGGCACTATGCAAATGCAAATGGAAGCAGGTGGTTCGCCACTTTTTTTCGACTTGTTCGTAGCTATGGGTAAGTCAACCGACTCAAACACTCTAGTGGCGGCTACTGACGTTCCACAGTGAACCACCTCGACGACATTACCTCCAGCGCACGATCGCCACGCTCCTAGTCCATGGCGTGCCACTCACGCGACATCCCTCGTGCCATCATCATCTGACTTTACCAACAAGCCTCATGACTCACAACTCTATCTCGTTACGCATCTTCTTATCATCCGGGCGGCCAATCGGCCTGGTTCACTATTCAGCATCACGACTCGCCACATCATTGATACCCTTCTGCATTCAACTATTCTGCAAGCATAATTACCATTTTCAGCATCAGCACGGCGTTTGGGCAAATCGACTTCGAAAACATGACACAAATATCATAAGAACTGCACCGAACACGAAGGATTCTTGTACTACTATGTCATCTTGACGACTTGTTTGAGGGGAGCGGGGGCTGGGAAGGACACCAAGAATGTAACCCACTACTTTTCGATATCAGACTGTCAGATCTTGGGGAAGGAAAATGAAGCGCAACCCAACGCAGCGACTTGCCGACATTGATTGCTGCGGGACTTAGATCGCTGGGCGATCGATTGTACTTGTAGGAGACTAGGCCAATAAATTGGAAATCAGAATTATGGTCATCAAACACAACGTCCATGTCTCGATCTCGAACATCTTCTTCTGAGAAGTCTGACCAAACTGTGTTGAAAGCAACGAAAAGAGGCTTCCGGTAATGTGATATATCGCTTGCATACTCTGAAGTTTTTTTCAACTGCCCATTGTTCAAGACCAATATAGCAATACGTGTAGTTACGTTAAAGCTAGCCTTGCCACATGTCTCTCAAACATATTCTCCGATCCTTGCCGATGATCTCGACACGGGTGGGTAAAAGGTGTGGCAGCCGCAGTGACTCATGGTTGATTGAAGGATGCATGTAAGCGAAGCCTCGGGTGCATGGCGTGATAGTGTGCTCAGTGCCGAAGGAGGTGTGGGCCGGGAACTGATTGCCCCCATGTTGCTCGACATGAGGCCAAGCGAGGGCGCAATGGTACAGGCGTTGCCTTCACTTTATCGCTATGGTACCCGAAGGTGGCTGGCGATAATCATGCTCTTTGTGCCTAAGTCAGAGTACAACTGGTTGAGGTGCGGCATGGATGTTGTCAAACGCCGGTCCCCGGAAATGCGCCGTTCTTGTTCAGGACTACCATGCGACGTTCCCGGGCGATGTATCCTTTCATCAGGTTCTAAACCAAATAGTCAGCAAGGGTCGCGCGGATCGCATCTTCTGTGTCTAATAGCAGGCAAGACTTGGCAGGTGTGGCAAAATTGCGCCTTCCGTGGCAGGCAGCAACAAGCCCTAAAGCCAGCAAATTGTATAAAACGATACAAGGCCAACATACCTTGTATATCGCATTTGCGATCAAGCACTCAACCTCATCATAATCGAAGCCTTGGTCCCCGTTGTTCACTTCTGCTCCTGCCATCTGCAGTGCGGCAGCGAATTCGTCCGTCGACACTCTCGATCTGCGAGGTGGAGGACCCGTATCGCCCTCTTTTGGTGGATCATAACCCCCAGCCAGGAAGACCTTCCGGAAGATGTTGCGCAAGATGACGTCTCGCCCGCGCTCCAGAGTCAAGTATATGCGCCGCTTGACAAACTCTTCTTCTCCATTCTCCAGCGCTGTGTTGAATCCGGTCAGGTCGCCTTTCCGTATCGACTCTGCGATTGGCTGGAATAGCCTTGCTAGCGATGGATACTGTGACAGCACAGCTGATGAGGGAAGCGTGTGCGAGGTAAGCAGTTTCGTGGGAATGAGGTAAGTCAGTATGAGCTGCACATTCTTCGCCGACTTCGAGTAGCACAGATTGTATGCCGAAGAGAGATACTGCTCAGCTGCAGCGTAGTCCTCATCGACAAAGTGGATGACTCCGCAGTAGTACATGAAAGAGACCTGATGACTTTTGGGAAACTGTGAGAGGGGCGGCATGTCACTCTGCGATTTGAGCGTCCGCAGAATATTCTTCGATAACGAGATGTGGTTGAGTTTGAAGTGGGTTTTGAAAAGAGCAGTGGCAATGAAATAGAGTGCCCACTTGCGCGAGTCCTCAAGTGGGTTGCTATACTTACCATGAGCAGTTGCTACAGCATTGGAAAGGTGCTCGTGCTTCCGCCGGGACATGGTCTCGTCTGTCTGATAAATGCCGTGACGGGGACTATTGCAGCGGAAGCACGGAATATGCAAAAGAAGGACTTACCGGTCGCCGGCACAAAGACCAAAAATGCGGTTGATCTGACGCGCAGCATCTTCGAGCTTGTCGTTCGCGCTGTTCGGATCGAAAGCGTCTTCTTCCTGGATGCCACCAAATGCCATGCCGCTCTCGCGTTGACTTGCGGTCTTTTGGTCTGCTTTTATGGCGAACACTCGCAGATATTTGACAGCCACGTAGAGACACGGGATCGTCCATGCTCCAAGCACGCCGATAGTGTACCCTTGATACATGGTATTGACCACCTTCTTCCAGTCCTCGTAAACCTGTGCCCAGTCTGCCTCATTCGTCTGGCCGACATTCTGCAGCTCTTCTGCTGCTAGCAAGGTACCCACGAACTTGTGGTAGGCGGAGAAGATGTCGATCCACGTGTTGATCTCCTTCTTGTCCAAATGCAGCGACGGATTGTATTGCAGCTTATAGCGTAGGTCAGTCTGCGCGTTTGCAGCAGTTATGCCATTGCGAAAGTGGTACAGTCGTCCCTGGTCGTGCTTGGGCGGGTCAGGCGAGACGCATGTGGCCAAGAGATAGCCGTTGGGGCCTGAGGGATCCTCGTGAGCGAGCACAAAGTCCTCGAAGAGCGTGTCAATGTTGACCATCGCTGCGATTTGCCCGAGAGGCGATGTGCGTTGTGTTTGAGGTTCCCGACATTGGAATGTGCTTGCTTGGAGGTCGAAGTGTCGATCGGCGGTCGGCGAGTCGGGGCTTGGCATCTCGAAATGGAAACCACCCACAAGTTGCGAAAAGCTCGAACTTCTTCTCTGCTGCAGGTTCACGTCGACAAGCACTAACCCAACAGGAACAGTCACAGTGAGTTTGGCGCCACGAATGTGCGCTTCATGATATGCTAACAGCGTACAGATGGGTAAGCACCGTCCGATCTCCTACTCGACCGCGCACGCGCACCGAGTTTTGAATGGGTGAAAGAGGAGGGAAATATGCAAAGACCTGAGCAGAATTGCAATGCGCCATGCGCACCGGGCCAAATGCTTCCTCTCATCAGCATCTGCAGTGACACAGGCGCTCAATGCGCTCTCACGCTATGTCAGATTAGTGGAAGCCAGTGGACAGCACGAGCTACGATGGTCGAGACGCATTGGACACACCTACATTTTTCTGCTGTCAGACAGCGCTGATATTGTTACCCAACAGTTCAGTCTGCAAGCGCCGGCTACAAGGGCCTGGAGGAGTACCAGGTCATTGGCCGCCATCTCCCCAGCGATGCCAACCCAACGCCAAAGCTCTACCGCATGCGTATCTTTGCGCCAAACGAGGTCGTCGCCAAGTCCCGTTTCTGGTACTTCCTTGCAAAGCTTCGCAAGATCAAGAAGGCGAACGGTGAGATCGTCAGCTTGAACAAGGTGCGTGAATGGCGGAACTCAGGGACAAGTGAGGAGGGCGCGTATTAATTTTGGGGCCAGATCCACGAGAAGCACCCTCTGAAGGTCAAGAACTTCGGTATCTGGATCCGCTACGACTCGCGTTCCGGCACACACAACATGTACAAGGAGTACCGTGAGATGTCTCGTGTCGACGCTGTCAAGTCGCTCTACCAGGACATGGCTTCCCGCCACCGTGCCCGCTTCAGGACCATCCACGTATGTCAAGTGCTCATCCCACGCAGTGCTGTATCTAATACTCGCCACAGATCCTCAAGGTCGTTGAGGTTGAGAAGACCGACGACATCCGCCGCCCATACATTAAGCAGCTCACCACCAAGAACCTCAAGTTCCCACTTCCTCACCGCGCACCACCGAAGCGTGGCAAGAAGGTCTTCGCTGCCACTCGCCCAAACACTTTCTACTAGGCGTTTCGCGGATATTGTGCATTTGCTGGGACAGACTGCGACTGCCTGGTTGGGCGGTCTTGTGGCGTTGCTACGCAGGAGTAGCTAGCGTATGATCAAAAATATGAGGCTTACCGCCCAATGCACGAACATTGATGACTTCCAACTTTGTCCACTGCCATTCTTTTTCATTTCTCGACTCACGTTGCTTTACTTGATTATTCCTTGAATGCAGCCTCTTTCTCGCTATGGACTGTGCGATGACTTAATTAATCACGTACGTGCAACACCAGCAATGATCAACGGAAAATTCGACATGCGACTAACTCAAACATGCACTTCTTTCACAGTGCCATGGCTATGTTTGCCAACCTCTTTCGACTCTGAAGGTCCATCTAGACCATCCAGAAACTCAGGCAGCGCAACACCTAATCTCGCAGCTTCCTCCGTGCTGAACGTGCCGTAGTAGTCGACATCATCTGCCTCTCGAAGCCCAAGTGGCGGAAAGGCCTTGTTAAGACAATAATGAACGCTGAAGCTGACCACAAATCCAAGTGGATATGCCAGATAATATAGATTCGTGCACGCTTCCGGTACCACAATGTTCGGATTGACAGCGTTTGCGAAGCCGGGCAATAGATACGACCAGCCCGTAATCCAGGCAACGAAACTTCGCCAGTTGATACCATGCCAGAAGTAATAGATTCCATCTTTGCGGGGATGGTAGAGGTCTGAAAGCTTGACTCGGCGCCTGCGCAGAACCCAATAGTCGCAAATCATGATGCCGACCATGGGCCCGAGAAAGACTGAGTACGCACTGAGTACGCTGATGAAAGTGCTTGCCGCGCTCAGCAACTTCCATGGACACATGGCAATGCTGAGAACCAATCCAACGTAAGCACCGCGTCTGATGTTGATGTAAGAAGGGAACAAGCCCGCCATGTCCATTCCAGCCGAGAAGGCATTATCGATGCTGTTGATGGCAAGCTGACAAATGACAAGACCACAGCCTGCGAAGAAAGCGGCCGCACGCGCACCTGGCGTGTAACTGGTGTCCAATACTTTCTGAATGAGGTTTGGAGGGTTCCTACCAATGTTAGCATACTACTGGCCGCAACGCAGGAGACATTAAATTACCAGATCGCCTCTCCGTAGACCTGTTGTGATGCCGATGCACTCAGGCATCCCAACGATGGCATGAAGATTCCCAGAACTATGATGGAGAGCCACTGTCCCATGACCTGATCACCGGGCCTGCGTGCGAACCTCGAGTAATCCATCTGATTCGTGAGACCAACTGCTATGCCTCCGATGACCGTACTGACACCATGGACCATGTCCCAGCCTAGCTCAGAGTCGCTCAAAGCTGCTGCAGGCTGGTCCAATAGTGGCCCACCGCCGCCTGCTTTTGCCATGATCCAGATAACCATGGAAATGAGCGTCGTCGCCGTGATCACGTTGAACCATAGTACGACCCATTGTATTCTCTCGGGCTTGATATACAAGATCGGAATCATCAACAAGTTGAAAATGACCCAGCCTATGAACTGCTTCGTGTTCATATCAGCAGAGGCAGGGAAGTGGTTGGCCATATTCTGGTAGCTCGGAAATATTGCTGCGAGGATATTCTGAACGCACAGTCCTCCAGTCCAGCTCTGCACAGAGAACCAGACCAGAGACAGTATGATTCTCTGGACCAGGGCGAGGTAGTGGCCGTACATGCCCCATATGTAGCGACTGACCACGGGAAAGCCGATGTGCCATTCTGCTCCCACGTAGCCATTTCCAACGGCTACAGCTGCAATGATTACTTTACCGATGACAGTGGCGAGGATCGCTTGCCATACTGCCAAACCCGCTGAGACTAAGGATGCGCCGAGTTGCCAGTTCGATAAGGTGAGCTGATTTATTGCCCAGAAGCTCGCAAATGCCCATGGCGTCCAAGTTCTGCGATGAGGCGGAAGAGGTCGAATGTCCTCATTGATCCAGACATTGGTCACACTTCGAGAGTTGGAGGGGAGCCTGCAAAATTCGAGGATGTCTTTAAAAGCCATCTTCATGAACTCAACTGTATGTCATTGAGAAGAGAATGTAGAGACCAAAGCTCGAGGCTTTGGGAGGGCGCATCGCTGCCATCATGATGTACCAACAGTTGGCTGGCCTGCTAATCGTTCAATGAGAGCATTTTGCTTGCCTGCCCTACCCGCCAGTATCTTGTTGTGCCAGCAGCTAACCTGGTCGCCACGATAGGCAGACATCGGACGAGGATCGACCGTGCCCAGGGCACTTTAGCCATCCCACAAACTCAGGGTATCAGTCCATTGTATTGCCGAAGTTCTCGTCAGTGAATAGAAGAGGGGTTGGCCGACGGCGGATGATAAGAGTGAAGTCGGGCAGAGGAGGGTCGTGGAGCTTGGGCTTGCCGAGCAAGGATGTCGCGCGTATTCTTTGACTCCATCCATCTCATCCCTCAACCTCTCTTACCAAAACAACCCATGACCTGGTTGCATTGGTTGGTTGCACCGCTGCTGCTACCCATGCGCACTCATGGAGAGCACATGGCCGTCACGCTGGCCGACTGTCTCGTCTCGCCGCGCCATCGCCCGACAGCAGACGCGCCGTGGGCCCGTAGGCACAGCTCGCCAAAGAGCTCACAAAGCTCTCAGGTAGTATGGCATCGCGCTTTACTCAATGTTTTCTTAAGGCGTTTGGCGCCCACTGCCTCGCATAGACTGAGCTAACTTACTGACAAAATGGTTGGCGGCAACGGCAAGAGCGTTCGCATCGGCGTCGACGTTGGAGGTGCTGTACACCATTTTATTACCGCGTTGTGATATAGCTGACGTGTCACAGGCACGAACACCGACGCGGTGGCTATCGATCCATCGCAGCAGTATACCCCTACCCGAGGCGTCCTCGCCCACCATAAGACACCGACCACGCCCGACGTCACTTCTGGAATCGAGAAGGCAGTGAGAAATGTCCTCACTGAATCGGAATTGCCTCCAGAGAGAATCGTCAGCGTGACTGTTGGCACCACACACTTCATCAATGCTGTTGTCGAGCAGGATGCACGGCGTTTACGCAGAGTCGCAATAATCCGTATCTCCAAGAGCTTCTTGAGAGAGGTGCCTCCGTTCTCAGAATTCCCGCCAGGTCTGACCAGCATCATCAAAGGCTATGTTGGGTATGTTGACGGCGGGCTGCATATCGATGGGTCCGAAGAGGCGCCGGTAGACGAGCAGCAGGTTGTTGAAAGATGTCGAGAGATAAAGAACCTGGGCTTGAGTGCTGTGGTTGTAGTCGGGACATTTTCGCCAATTGACGAGCACTTCCGCCAGGAAGACCGAGTGCGAGACATTGTGCTGCAAGAGATGCCGCATGCAGATGTCGTCGCTTCCCATGAGTGCGCGAACATTGGTCTCATGGAGCGCGAGAACGCTGCGATCCTCAATGCGGCAATCCTCCGATATGCCAGGCGGACTGTCAAGAGCTTCCGGAGGGCTATGAAAGCGTTGAAGCTGACTTGCCCGCTCTTCCTCACACAAAACGACGGTACACTCCTCGACTCTGCCTCAGCCGCACAGATACCCATTCGCACCTTCTCATCTGGTGCGACCAACTCTATGCGCGGTGCTGCATATCTGACTGGCCACGACCTCGCTCAATCGTCAGCGATCGTGGTGGATATTGGAGGTACCACGAGCGATGTGGGAGTATTGTTGCCGTCCGGATTGCCCCGGCAAGCCTCCGCCTATGTCACAGTCGCTGGTGTGCGCGTGAACTACTCTATGCCTTCTTTACACTCCATCGGCCTGGGAGGTGGGTCTATCGTCCGAGACGAAAGAGGCAAAGTCTCAGTGGGCCCAGATTCTGTTGGTCATTACTTGTTGCGTGATGCCTTGATCTTCGGAGGCAGAGTCACAACCGCATCGGACATCGCGGTTGCGGCTGGAAAGGCGCAGATAGGCGATGCTGAGGCTGTGTTGCACCTCGACAAAAGTTTTATCATGCAAGCTCAGCAAAGGATGAAGACTTTGCTTGAAGCCGCGATCGATGCAGTCAAGACGTCCCCAGAGCCTCTTTCAGTTCTCCTAGTTGGCGGCGGAGCTGTACTCGCGCCATCATCGCTCAAGGGCGCATCAGATCTCAAGTTGCCACCTTACCACGATGTCGCGAACGCGGTAGGTGCCGCCATCTCAAAGGTGGGCGGCATCGTGGACATTATCCAAAGTGTTGCAGATCAGACACAGAACCAGGCGATTGAGCGCGCTAAGTCGATGGCAAGGCATCGAGCACTGGATGCCGGCGCGATTCGGGAGAGTATAGTCATCGCTGAAGTTGAGAGCTACCCTGTCAGCTACGTCGCAAACCAGCTGCGGACAGTAGTCAAAGCTGTTGGAGAGCTCGACATCGATTCGGAGCCTGCGCTGCTCAATGACCAGGAGGAGGAAGATGAATTCGATGAAAGCGAAGCGCCGAAGAACATCTCTGTAAAGGTAATCGATGAACCTCCTGTCGATCCTCTATCGTACCGGCCTAGCATTGTCAGGAATATAGAGACTGGTGTACTGGAATGGCAGATTACCGAGACCGACATCAACTTCCTGGCCGATGGTTGCTATGTCTTGGGCTGTGCCGGAGGTGGCTCGCCTGCAGCATCTCGGATCCAAATGAGAGACATGCTTCGTGCAGGGCATAGGATGAAAGTCATTGATCCTTCTTCCCTCAAGTCAGATGCGCACATATACTGGGGCGGACATATGGGATCTCCAGCGACATCCAATGAGCGCCTTCAATCTCTCGAGACTGTCCATGCTTTCAACGCGTTGCTTGAGTATCGAGGCGAGAGCACCTTTGACGCCATTATGGGCCTCGAGATCGGGGGTGCAAACGGCCTTGAGCCGTTTCTGGTTGGCTCTTCTCGCTTTTTCGATCGTCCTGTCATCGATGCAGACTGGATGGGCCGAGCGTATCCCACGTATTGGCAGACAACTCTCGCAGTCCACGCTCCTGGCGAGCTGGTCCCTTGTGCAATCGACTCTGGAGACGGCAAGACGATCGTCATGACTAAGGCTAGCAACGATGAAATCGTGGATCGAGCACTCCGGGCTTCGTGCTCAGAGATGGGCTGTAGAGTGGGCATGGCAGCCAAGCCAACCACCGGTGACAAAGTGCAAAAGTACGGCGTTCTGAGAACCGTATCGCTAGCTTGGCGAATCGGACGCTGCATTGCGCAAGCTGAGGTCACAAATACTCTCTCGACTGTTGCAGAGCAGATCATCGATGAAGTCGGAGGAGAGAGAAGCGGCAAGATTCTATTTCGAGGCAAGATCATCGAAGTCGAACGCCGAATATTCAAAGGCCACTCATATGGAAGTATCACCATTGCAGGTCTCTCCGTGGACGAGGAGGATGAATCAGCAGACCAGAAGGCCCGGCGTCTGCAAGCTGTGAAGTCGACTGGCACACTCAAGATCCCATTCAAGAACGAAAACATTTGTGCGGAGCACACCGACGATGATGGAGCGTCGACCATTGTTGCCTCTGTTCCGGATCTGATATGTGTGCTCGATACGGGCTCTGGAAAGAATCTTGGTGTCCCGGAGTTCAAGTACGGGTATCGCGTTACGGTCCTTGGTATCACTTGCAGTCCGCGATGGTCTGACACTGAAGCTGGCTTGAAAATTGGTGGTCCCGGTGCGTTTGGATATCATGATATCGAGTACAAGCCGCTGGGCCAGTATGTTGAGCCAAGGAGTGTCATCGAGGAATTCGCACCGCAGTAGATCCTGTAAGCTGGAATGTTCTCCATGCATGTAGCATTTCGAAGACAATCGATTGCTGAAGGTCTTCGTACTGGCTGGCTATTTTCTGACATTGATGAATGCGCTACGTCAATGCTCATCCATCTCTGTGGCTGCGAGACGACTTTCGGCTTCACTTCACCGTTCACCATTCACCACAAGAGTAAAGCTTGGCAACGGCCGCACTTCTGCTTCTTAAGTCTTCCAAGCGCCGTCTGGCGACAATATCACGTCAGACATGCAAGATGTCGCCTACTACTAGATCAAAGGCCAAAGGTTCCGGGCCTCGCCGGAGCGACAGACTGCGCGCGAAGAGAGCGGAGCTTAACAGCACCACACGCCCAGGCGCGCGACCAACTCTGTCGCACAAAAAGAAGGTCGCGGCCAAGCCGAAGCCAAAGAAGGCCGCGCCCACGCCGAAGCCAAAGAAAGTCGCGCCCAAGCCGCAGCCAAAGAAGGTCGCGCATCCATCGAAGTCGTATCCTTCCGCCAGTGCTCAATTCGCCCGCGACCCAGATCCAGTGCCACAAGATGCTACTGGTAATGAGGTATGTGCTGCAATCAACTCTTGATGAAGTTCATGCTGATTTCATCTAGCCGCAGCAGCCAACGCTACTGACCATTGCCCCCGAATTGCGCAATATGATCTACGAGTACGCTCTTGTAGAATCTCGCACGGTGCAGATCCGAGCAGGTGCTCGCGAGCCCGGTCTCCTCGCAGTGTGTCGGCAGATTCGTGCAGAAGCCCGTGGCATTTGGTTGTCCATGAACACGTTCAGATTCACAATCCGAGACTGCGACGGCCGTCAGATCAGTTCCTTCCACCAACATGCAAGCAAGCTCAAGAAGATCAGCTTGAATCTCAGAGGCAACCGAAAGTGGGACAACATCATCACATGGGCACACCTCGTCTACCAGCACAGAGGATATCGCCTGAAGATTCCCCATCCTGGCTTGCGTACAAAAGTGCCCCGTTCGGAAATGTGGGACATCGTGCATACTGCGACGTCAATGGCCCATGACCTTTCCCACTTACCATGGCCACGAGTTCAGAAGAACCTTGAGCTGATCAGGATTATGGCTGCTTACCGCGACAAAAGCTGGCTCAATTGAGAGCTCTTCAGGTTCTTCCCGCCGGTGCGAGGAGAAGCATAAATCCCAAGCTGCATCAACAAAGAGTTCAATATTATTTCCTAGGCGATGGTCGTGGCTCACGTCCTAGTTGATGTCCCGGTGGCTAATGCATTCTTTGAGCAGGCTGGGATGTATTGGGACGATACGTTTATCCTGACTGCGTCTCCTTTCTCACAATAACGAAAATGCTAGCAAAAGCTTGGCCACAAACTCGATACCAAAAAAGAGCTTCCAGTCGATGGAGGACATTGTGTGCGCGCTGCGACTTATATGACTCGGCTTCGCGCAACTTCGTCTTGGGCACTCGTGCATGACAACCTCGAGCTGCTCAGGATCGTGGCTGCCCGAAGCAATAGGCGCTGGCTCGACTGAGAACCCACCTGGCATATGTCCGCCGCTCACCTCCTCCGCTCTCGGTCCATCGCCACATAAGAAGGCCACTGTGTATGCAGCGATGGATCGACAGCGTGAATGTTTGGGTTTGCATCAATCTGCAAAGCGTAAAATGCTCACAGAGCATGAATGGAGAACTCAGGGCAAATATCCTGGACCACGTATCCCTGCTCATTTTCGCAAAGCGGGGTTAGTCAGAGATGGCTTCTGAGAGCAAGAGGTAGATTGCGATCGAGGCGAGATTTATACCTTGATTGCCCCTCTTACTCAGGCGGTTATAGAGTGAGCAGAAAGTTCGCCACAGACTGAACATAGTACGTTGTACTTCCGCCCCCATTTAAATGACTACAACACTCCTTTCTTGTGCGGCAGCCGTGCCAATCGATTCAGACCGCCACGCCTTTGCTGCCCTCCTGCCGCCTGAGCCCTATAGCCCTGTAGAACCGGTCTTCTGGGTCGTACTTTCTCTTCACCGCCAACAGTCTATCCCAGTTCTCCCCATACACCTCACTCAAATTATTCCAGTCTTGCAACCAAGCCACGAAGTATTCTCCATGAAAGCCGTGACCGGCAGTGATTTGACTCGTTAGTCTCTCAAGCTGCGTTGATGCTATACTTTCCACTTCCTCAGATGTATCTTCAGGGGAAGTCACAAGCGCAACTTGCATAACATGTCTTCTACCTCGAGCATGCGGCCATGCGGTAGATGCAGGTGAAGAGACGGAATTGAAGACGGGTTCTTGCATCATTTCGAAGATCATAGAACTTCCATTTTCGAAGCCTTGGTGAAGCGTTATGGTGTCTTCGTACCATTTCCAAAGTCGAACAATGAACTCGTCATCGATGTCTGAGATTAGGGGAGCCGAACATCGGTACCTGGATGTTCCATGCCAGGCTGCGTAGGCTGAAGGAAGAGCATTCACTTGCGAGAGAGTCATCTCGCCCCCGCCGAGTTCGACTGCGCCGGGAAGCTGGAAAGCCCAGGCAAAGCCTTCTTCGCTGCGTGCATGGGCTTCGCCGTGCACGTCGTAGAGTGTGAGGACTATTCCTGGACGCGCACCTTGAACTGATTGACCCATGCCGGGACCTTGATTGGCCACGAACATGGCAACTTTGGGGTCTCCTGGACGTCGATGCATTGCTGCCACCGCCTTGGAGGTCTCTGCGAGAGAAGAGTAAGGCACGGTTACCAGAGCGGAGAAGATCTTGGGCGAGACGCGTTTGAGGTGAATCTTCAGCGCTGAGACGACGCCGAAGTTGCCTCCGCCTCCTCGAAGGGCCCACATGAGATCTTCTTCACCATCCTCTTTCGCCCATACCACACGACCATCACGAAGCACGACTTGAGCATCGATGAGGTTCTGAGGATCAGACACTAAGCCGTGTTCGAGAGACAGCCAGCTAATGCCTCCTACCAACGCACAGCCAGCAACCCCAACCCACGGGCACCGCGCTCCAACAGCGCCATACCCTGGTGCATGAGTATCGACAAGTTTATCGACTTCGCCCCAAGTGAGACCTGCGCCAACAGTAGCTATTTCCGTAATAGGATTGAATTCGAACGATTTGAAGCCCTGCATGCTGACGACCGCGTCGTAGGCCGAGCTGCTGCCTGTTCCAGTGCCCCGAATAGCGAAGTCTAGGATCGAGCCAGAAAGCGCCTTTACAACTTTTTGTAGTGTTGTAAGATTCTTGGGGACGACGACGAGCATGGCATGGCGGTCTGCAGCGGTTGACCATGGTTTCGTGTGCTCTTCATACTGAGGTGGTCCGCGTTCATAGTAGGTTGGGCATACCTCCTTCAGCTCATCAAGACCCCATTCTGCAATGCCCTCCATGACTTCGTGGTGTGAGAAGTGACTGTGAAGGAGATTGAAGCGTTGTGTCTGCAGTAGCTTTGATGATGGCGTTGATAGAGAGCCTTTCAAGACGTGGTCAGTGTGTCGGATCAATCGGGCGTCTTTGTCGGGGATACCACGATGCCAACGCATCTCTATGACCCAATGGCGGAGGAATTGAGAAGTCAGTATAGCTGACGGAGATAAGTGTAGAGCGCGGTGTAGCTGCGGCTGGGGCCCTAAACAGCGGCACAGCTGAATGCAGTCGCTCAAACTTTAAAATCTGCTAAGTTCTTGCAATACGCATCCGACTTCTCGAACTAGAGGACTGTGCGTCAGCCTTTCCATTCTGTCGCAATGGGCGGATATGATCCATGTCCCAGCGCCAGGTCCATCGTCATTGTCTACTCGGCCTTGATTGATGGCGATGTCATTCCCAATGGAGGAATGTTAGGGTAAGCCATGCGGAAAAGGGTGTTGAACACTCTTTTGTGTTTGTTTCAGTAGCTTCGGGGCAGACCAAGTGCTTTCTCGCTGATGAAGTTCATGATCATCTCCTGCGAGTGCCGTTAGTACTGTTGAGCTTCTCCACAACAAAACTTGCTTCACTTACGCGGCTGACCGGAGCTAGTCTTGGTACGAAGCACTCTCGCAGATACCTCTCCACGTGATATTCGGCAGCGTAGCCCATGCCACCCATGCTCATAACGCTTCTTTCGCACGCTGTGTATGCGGCTTCTGCGGCAACATATTTGGCACTATTCGCTGCAACTCCAACTTGATGTTGCGTTATGCTCTCGTCGAAATCCGGGTGCTCAGGAGTACTGCGGTCATACAACCTCGCAGCATGGTATGTGGCGAGCTTAGCCGCTTCAAGCTGCATATAAGCTGATGCCAGTGGATGCTGGATTGCCTGATTTTGACCAATTGGTCGACCAAACACTACGCGCTCGCGAGCATAGTCAGTAGCTTTCTTTAACGCTGCATAGCCTAGTCCGAGGGCCTCTCCAGCAAGAAGGCATCGCTCAGCGTTCATGCCATGCAAGATGATTTTGAAACCTTTGCCTTCTGTGCCAATCAAAGCATCTTTTGGCACATAGTAGTTATCGAAGAACACTTGGTTGGCGTCGACCGCTCGACCGCCCATCTTTTTGATTCTTTTAATTTCCAGCCCAGGGTTTGATTTGTCCAGGTCGATGTACAACATGCTCAAACCTTCACTTGGCTTCTTGACTTCTTCCACCGGGGTGGTTCTGGCGAGCAGCACCATCTTCTGCGCTACCTGTGCATTCGTGATCCAGATCTTCTGGCCGGAGATACGATAGCCTTCTCCGTCCGGAGTGGCTAGGGTCTTGAGCTTCAGAGTGTCGAGACCAGTATTGGGTTCTGTCACGCCGAAACACGTTCTCCATTCACCGCTGACAATCTTTTTCAAGAATCGATCCCTTTGCTCCGGTGTTGCAAACTTTGAAACGGGCTGAGTGGCATATACGTTGGCGTGTATTGACTGTGCTCCTGCCATCCCGGCACCACTTTCAGCAATAGTCTGCATCATCATCGTCGCCTCTGAAATGCCCAGTCCTGCGCCTCCAAGACTCTCGGGTAGAGCAATGCCTAGCCAGCCATCTTTGGCAAGTGCAGCATGCAGTTCCCCAGGGTATTCGCCACTGTAGTCGCGCTCCATCCAGTAATCGTCCGGGAAGTCAGAACATATTTTGAAAATCGATTCTCTGACAGTCATCTGCTCTTCTGTGAACCCAGACGTCTCCATCAGTGCCCGTCGTGCTGTCAGCGAGAAGTTTCGTGAACTGCATAGTGGTGAGCGAGCAACGGGAATTGCACGACGGCCGGCACGGCTAACTGTGCGGAGTGACGAGAAGAGCGTTTGTGCCATTGGGACTAGTAGAAAGTGACTTGTAAGAGGTGTAGGTATTGGGACAGAGTCCGTGATCTACATGCTGTACTTATTGATCATACCAGCGGCGACATCGGTAGTGACGCCAATGAAGGCTCGGGAATAAAGTTGAGGCCAGTCGGTTCGCGGGAGATGGAAGTTGGAGAGCAGGCTTGGCAAAAAACACGGACTCGCGTCCCAAGCGTTAAGCGAGTCAAGCTCGACCAAAACAATGACGACCAAACACACGCGCTTCACCACCACCACCGCCGACGACACCGCCCGCCGCGCCATCACCCAACGACATTGGCGCCTTCTTGGATCATGTACAGCTAGCTCTTATTGACAGCACTGGACTCTTGCGCGCTTCTGGAAGACACCCAGCGGGACGAGTATCGAGCAGCGTAGCAACGCGCACCCCCACGGCGTAACAACCAGACACAATGGCTGCGAGAGGCAAGGCGATGCCTGTGGGCTCGTCGCAATGGATTCAGAATGAGCGCGAGCAAGCGAGCGAGTTCGTGGAGCAGGACGTCGAGGAGTTCTCGTATAGTGTGCGCAACGAGCTCGACTGGCTGAATGAGCACATGGCAGACATCTTCAGCAAATCACATGTGTAAGATCGCTCCAAAATACAGTATGAATGACTACTGACTGCCGCAGTAATTTTGCCGACATGTTCAAGACGCCTGGCAAGCTACGCGGCAAGACGCCGCGAACTGCGCGAAAAGTGAACGCTCTCGCACCGCGCCAACCACTAACTGATATATTTGCGCCCAACGCACAGCCTACAGCGGCGTCACCTGCAAAGAACACGGCGTTCTTCGAGAAGGTCACGCAATTCCAAGTTCCAGCAACGGACGAGAACAAATCACCACAACACAAGCCAGCCGGACGAGCGACAAGTCCGCAACGGATTGGAAAGCCGTACCCGTATACTGATTCCGGATACCATGGAATGATGACCGAGGACGAGATGGAGCTGGACGCGCAGAGAACCGCGAGTGTTACATCGTCGTCGCAAGTGGGTGAGCATATTCCGCAAGTCCCTGTGCATGACGAGGAAGCTCCAGTGGAGCGTTTACAAGGAGGAAGCGGAGACGACCATGTCATTAGTGACGACTCTTTTGTCTCGGCCGAAGAGCAAGGTCACGGAGTGGAAGCAGGCCAGGACGAGGTAATGGAAGACGCGCCTGGCGACACCCAGCCATATACTCACCAAGAGGAGGTCGCAATGGTTGCCAACGCGTTGCAGCAAGAAAATGTGATCGAAGTGTATGAAGATGAGCGCATGGAAGATGAAGGGGTCAAGCCAGTAGCATCCCAACCGGAACCAAAGGAAGCGCCGTTGCCCGTTGCACCCGACAACGAGGTGGATATGGAGGCTGAAGGTGCAGATGAGCACTCTGATGCTTCTAGCCCAGAGAAGCCATTGAACCGCAAGAGTAGCTTCACATTCTCGTCATTACCAGCGCGTGAGCCGCTGGGCTCAAAGCGCAGCATGGGCCAGATGGATCTGCACAGGAACAGCGTGTTCAACAAGTCGATCGGCACACGACAAACGGAAAGTCAGCACACAGAGGATGGGGCAGCCGAAGGAAGAACCCATGGTAAGACCACAGCACAGACTCTTCACGATCGGATCAACATGCTGGGCAAGACGAAGGAAGCACGGCCATCGAAAAGCATTCACCAAATTGCGTCCTTGAGCCAGACTGGTTATCCGCAGTTACCGACGATTGATCAAGACAAAGAGCAGGCAAACGAGCCTGACGTTGAGATGCATGACAAGATGGTAGACGAACCCGCTGCTCCAGTAAATGACGATGAGGACGATTGGATTGCGCCTACGAAACCATTTCAGACTTGGCATAGCAAGCCTTCGGAATCTGGGCTCCAGCCGACAGCAGCAAAACTGGCTTCACCGAGACCTGCAATGCACGTCAAGTCAATTTCAACTACAGAAATACCATCGCCTTCGAGAACAGAAATGGCGAGCCCTCGGCATCAGAAAGCCATATCTGTCTCACACCCCAATCTCGCAGAAGTATTAGAATCTACAACACCTGCTGGCTCACCGTCGAGAAAGACAAACGATGGCCACCTCAGCGCGTCGAAGAACAGACTGTGGTCTGCGTTAAAGTCAGCCAAGAGCATTTTCGCCTCATCGGCCAGTGCTAGTGCTGCAGCGAAGTTGGAGGCGCATAACGACTCTCCTGTGCTGGCGCGTTCACCTACCCGTGATGGTGCCGAACAAAGCAACAAGATCTTCAACCTCCCTGGTGCGTTATGGTCGCAAAAGGACGTCCTTCAAAGTCCGGTCAGGAACAATTCTGTAATTTCTTTCAGTCCAAGCCGAAAGACGCGAAATTCCAATGAGAGTGAAAAGAGGCGTGAGAAAGAGCTCAAGGCGCAGGAGAAGGCTGCTGCTGAGTTGGAGAAAGCACGTGAAAAGGAGCGACAGAAGGCTGCTAAACAGCAAGCTGAAGAGGCAGCAAAAGCTGAAAAGGCTGCAAAGGCGGAAGCAGTCAAGGTTGAAAAGGAGAAGCAGCAGGCGGCGAAGGCTGCCGCAAATGCTTCACGACCTCAATCGGCGAACAGTGAGAAGGCTTCCGACAGCGAGACTGCGCCCCAACCGCCGCCGAAGAACAGCATGCTTCCGGCTGGTAAGTTGAGGGCTCCAGGCAGACTTATGAGGCCAACGAAAGCGTCATCGCAGACCACGCCGGCACCTGTCGCAGTTCGCATGCCATCGCAAGCGCCACGTGCTGGACCAGCTCCTTCTTCATTCAGCAAATCACAGCATGAGACTCTGGCCTCGTCAACAAGCAGCTATGCAGGACCACGTGCCGGCTCTGCTCAAGGGTACAGGCCGGGCACTGCTGGCGGCAATGCTCGTCTGAAGGCACTGGAGGCTGCAGCCCGGAAGAAAGAAGCCGATGAGAAAGCTGCTGCTAAAAAGGCTGAGCAAAAGCGCGAGCTGGAGCGCAAGCGCGCTGAGAAGGCCGAACAGGAGAAGAGAGCGGAGGAGGAGCGCAAGGCCGCAGAGCAACAGCGCGTGCAAGAAGCCAAGCAGGCTGCTGAGCGTAAAGCGGCAGAAAAGCGCGCTGCAGAAGCACGGAAACGTGAACAAGATCGCGCCGAGCAACAGAGGAGAGATCAGGAGCGTCTCGACCAACAACGCAAAGAGCAGGATCGTCTCGAGCAGCAGCGAAGAGATGTCGAACGCCTTCGACAAGAAGAGGATGCACGAAAGGCGAAGGAAGCGCACGACTTGGCGGAGGCCATCCGCCGCGAGCGCAGTCAACAAGCCCAGCAACATCCGCGTGGAGATCTGCCTGGGACCTTGCGACAGCTCGGTAAGAACACTGTGCCGACGAATCCTGCCAAACCTGCGAAGCGCCAATTCCCTATCGAGGAAGATGATCATCAGCCTCAACCACAGCGCCCTGGCATTCTGCGCAACGCGCCGTCGTATCAGCAGACCGACGCGAAGCGACGACGAACGAACGAGGAGCAGAATGACCAGAATCAGCGCACATCGGTGATGGCACCACCAAAACGGCCATCCACCATGCGCAAGGTAAGCTCTCAGATTTCTCGTTCGGCAGCAGCTACTAACGAAGCGCAGGAAACATTGTCAAAGTTCTCTGGATACACACATGCGCCGCCTCCAGCTCCTCACCACGCCAGCATGTTCAAATCCACAGTCACGGCGCAACATCAAATGCAGCATGGCAGCAAGCCAATGCACCCGAGTCAGCTTGTCCAAACATCAAGCGCACGGATTCCTTTCGCCGACAGCAACGCCAAGACACCTGGTCAGGCTTCACACTCCCAATACGCATCGGGCTATGATGCAAGCAAATTTAAAACACCCTCGAGACCAATGCAAGCTCCCAAGTCTGCCAAATCTACGCCTCACTATCCTCAAGGCGACAATATTGAGCTTCCTGACATCGCTACCGATTCCGAAGACGAAGAAGATGACGATGATGAGCCTGGCGGCTTCCGTGCACCCTCATGGACAGCTTCGCCGGCTCTTCGAGAGCTTCTCACTCAGCAACAACTCATGGATCCTGAGGCAGTATTTGGACCTATTGGTGAATTAAAGATGGAAGAGGTCTTCAAGAATGGTAAGAACCAGGATCGTCTGAAGCGGTTCCGCGATCGTGGCAGTAGCGCCATGTGGATTGAGACTGGTGATGCTGTCACGAGTGCAGAGAAGCGGAGAGATATGGAATTGAGAGAGAGGGTTGTGAGAGAAGGTGGTTGGAGATATGAGCCTGGTGTTTGATGGGAGCTCGTGAGCTTGGATACTGGCTTTGCAGGCCGTTGGCTGAGGCCTTTTTGACGATGTTAATGACGACTATCTTGCATGACTGGCAGAGCTCTTTCGAGCCGCCCTCTAGACCTTTCGTTAGGCTGGCGTTGGGTTTGCGGAAGAGCAGGGGAATTGGACTTGGGGGTTTTCCGGCGGATGGGACCATGTTCGCTCCCTGACAGCTTCTTTGTCTATTCCGATAGAGTCTGACCGGCTCAGTGAAGCCTTTTCAAAAAGCTTAATCAACAATTTTGTACACAGTCTTTGAAATCGTGTGCCATATTTCTGATATCATGAGGACAATGTGACATTAGTGAAGTGTTTGTTCTTGGGAGTAGAAGTTGTGATTGTATTCATGGCCGATCATATTTTTCATTCGTTATGTGCATCGCATATCATCGCCTTCAAGAATCGAGCATATCAACCAAAATTGGCGTTCGCACGCACGTACGCAGTCTGCAAAAGTCCTCGCCACCATTACCGCCTGACAATGAGTCCACGTCTCCGACTCTTGAAAAGGTTTATCGATGCCCTGATATGACTCGAGACCGTTGCAATTATTTAATGCACCCTCGTGCCTTCACGATCAAGCTTTCCGCCTCGTCCTCAGCGTTCGTTGTTGCACTTCGACGCTCTGCGTCCCGTCTGGCAAATTCCGTTGCTGCACATCCACATCCTTGGCAACAATGGGCGCAGAACCTCTCTTGAGTTCATTCTTGACGGCTTTGACTTTCTCCTCCGGTTCCCAGTGCTTGGGTTCAGGTTCAGTTCCTTTCGTTCCCAGAGGAGGATCGAATCTTGATCGGATTGTCTGGATCATCTTCCAGAACCAGAAAATGTTCAGAGAGTTGAGGACGAGATTCGAGGCAAGGTAGCAAGCACCGAGCCAAAGTGGGATGTACTGTGCTCCGGCGAAGGCGAAACGCTGACCTTGCTCATCGGCGTAGATCGATAATAGCTCAGTGGCATTGTAGTTCTTTGGAGCTCCTGTGGCAATTTTGGTGATCTCGGTGCTACCCCTGAAGATTGCGTTGTAGATGTCGAGGAAGACGAGGACGGATGAGATGTTGCCCCAGACCAGACGGCAGCCGAAGAACGAGCTGACAAGGAAGGCACCATTGATCGCTTGAATGGGGGAGCCCGTCAGATCAAGTTTGTCGCAGAACCAGTGGATGTTGAGGAACGGGGATGAGAGCTCGTAGAGGAGGAAGACGGGGGCGTAGAAGTAGATAAATGGGCGCTGTTGGAAGGGGACATCAGTGGCTGTAAATATTGACTCAAATGGAGAAGGAAATAACTCACGTAGCCCAACGCAAAGACGCTCACGGCACTAATCGCATGCGCCAACATTCCAACGCCGAATATATCGACATAGTACGTGCACATGATCAGATCCCAGAGGAAATAACCCAAGGCGAAGCTCTGGCAGAGGCCACTGAGACCCGTGTATTCCCATATCCTGTTCTCCCAGAGCTCTCTCGGTCGCACAGCAATTCTCTCTTCATCGTAGAAGATCACATACAAGCTCAAGACGCAGATGAGCACGGATTGGAAGAACGAGACGACATGGACGTCCCAATTGATTCTCGTTCTCTTGTTCAAAGCCTTGTACCGTTGCGGAACCAGTCTTGAGCTGATTATGGGAGACACGACACTTCCAATTATGGTGTAGAGGAAGAAGGCGAATATGACTTCGTGGGCGTGTAGAGCGAGAGTCGGTAGCGAAAGAGCGTCGGCAAATGGCTTGACCGCGGCGACGAGCCACTCAGGCGGTGGTAGGGGAAACGGGTCCTTCATGATCGCGGCGGTGGGTGGAGGAGAGGCGCGGTGATGCTATCGTCGCATGGTATTATATCCTTCGATAGCGGAGGGAGTGATGTGTGGTCGCGTGCGAGACGGATCGTCAGATGTGCCTATAGCGGGCATAAGGTGGAGTAGCGCCCTCGTTCTCGGATTGTTCCTGGAAGCATGTGAGTGCTGCTCGCTGCCTGCCGGAACCACACTTTCTCCGCATCGCCGGCCGCGCGAACACAGCCAGACGCGAAGCTCTCCAGAAAAGTTGAAAGCGCAGTGACATACAGCCCTCCACGCCGACACCACACCGCACACCGAGCTACCGACAAGATGCAAGCTCCCGTCGTGGTGATGAACACCGCCACTGGCGACCGAAAGACCGGTCGTCAGGCACAATTGTCCAACATAACCGCCGCAAAGACCGTCGCCGATATCATTCGATCGTGTTTGGGGCCCAAGGCCATGCTGAAGATGCTGCTGGATCCCATGGGCGGTATTGTCCTGACCAACGATGGCCACGCTATCCTGCGAGAGATCGAAGTGGCGCACCCAGCAGCCAAGAGCATGATCGAATTGGCACGAACGCAGGACGAGGAAGTGGGAGATGGCACAACCACAGTCATCATTCTGGCTGGTGAGATTCTGGCTCTGTCATTGCCGCAACTCGAGCGCAAGATCCACCCGGTTGTGATCATTCAAGCATTCAAGCGAGCTCTCGCAGACTGCTTGAAGGTCATTCAGGATGTCTCCATTCCCGTTGATATCAACGACAACGATGTGATGCGGAATCTGATCTCTACCTCCATCGGCACCAAATTCACTTCGCGATACTCAGATCTCATGTGCGACTTGGCACTGCAAGCGGTCCGAACAGTAAGCACAGATGCGCATGGCGGCAAGAGGGAAGTGGATATCAAGAGATATGCACGTGTGGAGAAGGTGCCTGGTGGCGAGATTGAGGACAGCAAAGTGTTGGACGGCGTCATGCTGAACAAGGATATCACACATCCCAAAATGAGGAGGAGAATAGAGAATCCACGGGTCGTGCTGCTGGACTGCACATTGGAGTACAAGAAGGGTGAATCACAAACGAACATCGAGATCACAAAAGAGGAAGACTGGAACAGGATTCTGCAGCTGGAGGAGGAGCAGATCAAGGCAATGTGTGATGCAATCCTTGCTGTGAAGCCCGACTTGGTCATCACCGAGAAGGGTGTGTCAGATCTGGCGCAGCACTTCTTCCAGAAAGCCAACATTACCGCGATTCGCCGGGTACGCAAGACGGACAACAACCGTATTGCACGTGCAACTGGTGCCACCATTGTCAACTCGGTCTATGACTTGACAGAGCGCGATGTTGGTACGCAATGCGGTCTCTTCGAGATTGAGAAGATCGGCGACGAGTACTTTACCTTCCTGACGAAGTGCAAGAACCCCAAGGCTTGCACAATCCTGCTCCGTGGACCTTCAAAAGACATCCTGAATGAGATCGACCGCAACTTGCTCGACGCCATGTCGGTGGCGCGAAACGTCATTTTCCATCCATACCTCTCTCCGGGAGGTGGTGCAACAGAAATGGCATGCGCTGTACGGCTGGCCCAGCTCGCTAAATCGATCGAGGGTGTGCAACAATGGCCATACAAGGCCATCGCGGACGCCATGGAGGTCATTCCCCGCACACTGATCCAGAACGCAGGTGCCTCGCCTATCCGGATCCTGACAGCGCTACGAGCGAAGCACGCCGAGGGCGGTTCGACTTGGGGCATCGATGGAGATGCTGGAAAGGTGGTCGATCAGAAGGACTTCGGCATCTGGGAACCTCAGGCTATCAAGCTGCAGAGCGTCAAGACTGCGATCGAGAGTGCGTGCTTGTTGCTCAGAGTCGACGATATTGTTGGCGCCAAGCAGGCGAGAACTGCGGGTGGACAAGGAGGAGATGATTGAGGAGGAGCGTGAGGAGCGTGTTTGATGAGTATGATGAAAAGTTCTGACCTGGGCAGGCAACAGGTCTGGAAGCAAAATCAGTGCCGTGTACAATGAAGAACAATGGCAGCATGGCTCAGCCAACGGAAGGCGAGCTACGATTCGATGCAACGATCGTCGCCATGAAATGCTTCGTGGCCTCGAACGCTGCCGTACGAACAAAGACCCGGAAGCACCATCTGTCTTGTAGCAGAGTCTCGTAGACAGCCGACACATGGTACTTTGCACATGCGCGTGACAAATCACTTTCTGATGACATGCTTACACCCCATAGTACACTCGATAATCTTGGTTTTCCGGCAGCTTGAACGATTACATGCCACATGCTACACGCAGATGTCAGTGCATGGGCAGTGTCCTTGAAAACATAAGCTTGTTCACGAACACACCCTCCTATTCATCTCAAGTGTGAAAGTCATGGCTTTCCTCACTAAACTTGTGCGCCGAGAATCTCTCATAGTGAATCAATGTGATACCGTTCACCAGTGCACTGTCACAGTCCTCCATTCACCTACTGTCATATGAAGCACAAGATAATAAATTTCTGTATAGTTCACACTACGACCTCCACCTTCGCCAAATGGGCGGAAGTACTTCAGACAGCTTCTTCCTGCCTCGAGCATCACTGGACAAACTGTCAGGCCATCTCAAGGCGGGGAAGAACAGGATCATATCCCAGCTCAGCAGAACTGGACTCGAAGGCAACATGCCGAATCCACCCAATATCACCATTTTGGTCGACCCTCTCCGCGAACCCCCAAATTTCAATGCGGTAACTCGCGCCAGACGACACTTGCGTTCAATCGAGGCAATCCAGTCATGGCAGCCAGACCCAGACAGACTGTGGTTCCGCCACCCGCTCCTAGAAGGCAGGCCATTACCAGCACCACTGTCGATTCGAGCACCAGGACACGAGTACTTGGGTAGCAGAACTGTCCAGCGCAACGACCAAATGCCTTTCCCCATCCCGGTACGAAACAGCAGCAGAGGGTTCGCCAACGAGCGCCGTGACAGCTTCGAGGTATTCGTAACATATGGCGGACCCGACTACCCTACCCAAAACCCTTCGAGGCCTGCGTTAGGGGAACTTGCTGTCAATACTCAGCCACTCACCCATCGTCAACGCATGGTATCAAGCCAAGAATTAGGTCCACCACCTCGTTCTCGCCACGGTCGCCGCAACGCCATGACGATTGATCCGCAAGATCCTCACGGCTTCGACGGCTTCCATCATCGCCGCCACCCTTCCGTGACTGGCGATCCAGAACTACCTCCCTATCGTAGCCCTAGTGCGTACGCGAGAGATGTCGGAGGCTTGCCGCCTTCTTACGACGAGCTCTTTGGCCCTGCGCCGAGCACAGCTTCACCAGTTGAGTCGCGACCGCGTCTACCGCGGTATAGTAGCTTCGATGCTGGACGAGGTGCTGCACCGGGGCCGACGCAGTGCCCGGCTATGCGGATAGAAGTTACGTACGTGGAGCTCAGCAGACGGGGACGGACTACGGAGCGGAGGGTTAGGCTGGAGGCTGAGGAGAACACGGAAGGATAGGAGAATGCAAGGCAGGCATGAGGTACATGCGCTAGTATGTCAGAAGGTTGTCTGTGGTACTTTCACCACCCTGCACCAAGTTCAGGGGCAGAGAAGTTTTTGTATGTTCGAAGAAAGAGGCGATCCTTTGCGACTGCTGTCGAAAAAGATATTCGGGGTTCAGTCAGCTCGTCGCGACACACTTTTAGTCGCGGCTACTCTTGTGAGCTGAGAAGCCTCGATCTCTCCAGAGAAAGATATATTTTCTAGCGATCGGATAGGGGGGTTGGCTGGAAATTGTCCTTAGGGCCAAGAGAACAGAATTTCTATAGAGCTCATCAGCACGCTAGATGGCTGAAAATCGATGATATCCGCGATTTCAACATGCTTGCAGGCTTAAAGGCACCAGACTTTTTGCAAGCGAATGGGTTCATGGCATTCATTCCTTGTTTGCTGCCGCTGTAAGACAGCAAGAGAACCTTTCTGGCGGTAGGGGACGTGCTTTGAGTCCGGATAAAACGTCAGACTGGCTCTATGGCGTATCGATATGTGAGGATGTATTCAAAGCTTGACGGCTTGTGTTCTACGCATTTGAATTCGAGGTGTCTTCTGAACATGTACCATTGCCGACTGAATAGAGCCGTCCCAAGATGAAGGCACGAATTGAAACTTGCGGGATCTGAGAAGGAAAGAGTAAAGCAGCCACATCTCTGCGTGACAACAACGCTCTTACCATGACGCTAGCCAAAGCAATTGCCATAAACTCGTTCTTCCTCATAGCGAGAAGCATACATGTAAACAAACAACATCCAGTCCACAAAACATATCTCAGACGGAGTCTCGATAACAGCAACAACACACGTACGATGGGTAACCCCATTCGGGTAGTTCGCGTCGCTTGTTCAGGAGAAGTCTCGGTCCGACACGTAAAGGAAGGCTTCGATTCGCAGAACGCTCACGAATTGCACCCGGTCTTCACCCAAGGACAGCTCAGTCCAGTGTCGGAATTGATGGGAGTACCACTTCTTCTGATGAAAGTACGACCTTCGCTCCTTCGACCAAAAGATTCGGGCGAAGCGCCGTTGCAGTATGGGACAGAGATGGTTGGCGAATACTACAGCAATTCATTGGCAACAAGGCTGATGATGCGCTGCTACGAGTCGGCGGACGGAAAGAAGTCAATCGCACCACTCCCGGATTGGAAGGACAGCATTGGAATGGTGTTGGTGGCAAGAACAGACCGTAAAATACTTCATCCGACACATGTGAAATTGATGGCCGCGTTCCTGGATCTAATTTTCCATGAGGAGTATGGACCCAGAGACGAAGAAGACATGAAAAAGCGACTCAAGCCCGTGAATTTTCAGAACTTCTATTGGGCTACGCTTGTGAGTTTCCAGGGAGATCCAAAGACACGCAACTTCAGGAACGCATTAGCCAAAGTTGGGCCGCCTTTCCCTCAAGGGTCGCTGGGTAGTGATGAGAAGATCGAGCAGACGAATGTCAAAGACAAACAGGACGAATTTTCGTTGGACCCGGAATTCTGGTCTGATCCTAATCTGCCCAAAGGAAGCCCATCTTACAAAGACTCCCCACAGGAAAGGTCCATTGATTGAGATCGATTACAATCCAGGCTTCCATGTCACGAATGATGAGATAGCTAAACGAGCAGTCGGAAAGATGCACGGTATTGTAGAGTAGCGCCGGGCACATCATCAGAAAGAATTGTATGTTCCCTCCAGATCACTTCTTAGAAAATGGCGATCGCTCCAGGAGGACTGCCTACGCCGCCACGGACGTTCAATGGTGCACTCGTCAAAAAGAACGTCCAACGACGTTCCTTTTCGCAAATCTTGCTCAGTTCTTCCAGATTCCACAGCTCGCCAATCGGCGTACCCCACTGCACCAACAACCATTCGTGCAACGTCCAGCCAGTCTCGAATGGCGGCGGCCAAGCCTCAAAAGCAATTGTATCACCAGCTACAGCCGCAAAGTGATGATCATACAGCCACCGCACAGTCGCCTCGTTGTTCTGGAGACCAATCGCAATAGAATTGTCCTGGGTCCCAGCTTTGCGATCCTGCGGCGAAGCATACTCGTGCCATTTCGTATATCCACTTCGAACAATTAGAATGTCTCCGACCCTTGGTACGGTGTTCTGCCACTTGAGGCAAGCATCGAGCTCGCTCACAGGTATCTCGTGTCTGGACACTGCGGAAGGAGGATCGCCATGTTTCTTCTCGTACCAGCTCAGCCAGTCTACCAGAATGCCTCTTCCTACGATTCCGCCTCGTTCACACCACTTGTGGATGCCGTTCCTGTCATTCTTCAAGGCCTCATCGTGGGACAGACCATTATAGTACATCTGAGTTGGCTGATGGGCAAAATGCTTCAACGAGTCCCACTGGGAGCCGCTCTGTGTGTTGAGATGCAGCTCATCGTCAAATCCTGCATGCTTTCCTTCTGACGCGGCTCGGGCATCGAGGACTTTGTGTTCCAGCTTTCTCCTTCCAAAACCCGGAAATTGAACATTGTCTGACAAGTTCCAATCTAGCTGGACATGTTGTCCGGTCTTGATCTCCTTTGAGGCTTGCTGTACGACTTCTGGTGTCAAGAGGTTCAGGGTTCCGATTTCATCCTTCACACCATTCTTATCCCAAAAGCTCCATGTGCATCCTTGGGGCTGACCTTCAACGCGTGGAATCTGATCGAACGCAGGAAATGTAAAGTGTGAAACGCCAGCTATGGAGTCGGAGATGGCAGAGAGCCGCTCTTTGGCACTCTGTATGACTGTACGTTGTTTACCTTCGGACATTTTCCTGCTGTTTCTGCTGCTGCGAGCTGGACAAGTCACAAAGACACCTACCGTTCAAGACCTGGAGATGATGGGTAGTTATGTCAGTGGCAGGCGGGGCCTTCCTGCAGCTCTCGCGACCTCGGCTTGGCCATAGACATGTCGTGCATCGCGACAAAGCTGGCAAAGCATGATGAGGCGCGTCATGATGCCAGTTCTCATGCAAGAGTCTTGATGTGCATGTCTGCGTGTATTGTTTGTGAGCGAGTGAAGTCGGTGGCCGTGGTCCCGACGACGCGTGAACGACATCATGCTGACTCAGTCGCCACAGCAACATTGAGCCACAATCTTGAACTGCCAAGCCAAGACAGACATGCTCAGGACAACGAGCGATGCTCATATTGCGACGAACCGTTCGCGTACGGGCGAATGGTTTATCGGATTATAAAGGTCTAGCAAGGCAAACATCATGTCTTCATAGCTCAACAGTATCCCGGAAACAGGCCGAGAAGACCAGAGCACCAGAGAACACGTCGGATCCTCGCATCACGAACGTCGAAGACCAGAAGAAATCCATCAATGATGAGAAAGGCGAGATCATAGAAGATGAATTCGCAGTTTTGAGGACGAGTTACGATGCACCGAAGCATCCCATCATCCTAGCACATGGACTTCTTGGCTTCGATGAACTTCGACCACTTGGTCACGCGATACCGATTCGCGGAATAGAATATTGGTACGGCATCAAAGAGGCTTTGGCGGCGAAGAATGTCGAAGTCATCACCGCTTCTGTGCCACCTTCTGGTAGGATCGAAGTTCGGGCGCAGAGACTTGCGGAGTCGATTGAGAGACAGGCGGGCGGGAAAGCAGTTAATATAATAGCGTAAGGCTGGCTCTTAATGTAGCAACTGAGAAAGTGCTAACGATCTTCTAGACACAGCATGGTCAGAAATCCTCACCTCGCTGCAATGAATAAAATGCTGACATCATCTAGGGGTACGAACGATATGCATAATACTATTGGCCAACTCACTAACATCTACGCAGCGGCCTCGACGCTCGACACATGGTCTCACGACTCAAACCAGCAAACGTCAAAGTTCTCTCTCTAACCACAGTCGCAACCCCTCACCGCGGTTCCTCCTTCGCAGACTACATGTTCGAACGAATAGGCTACACGAACGTCCCGAAACTCTACAAAGTGCTCGAATTCTTCGGCATGGAGACCGGTGCCTTCCGACAACTAACACTAAAGTACATGGCTGAGTCTTTCAACCCGCGCACGCCAGATCTCGAAGGCGTGAAATACTACTCCTATGGTGCTGCGTTCCAGCCACACTTCACTTCAGTGTTCAGGAAATCACACAACGTGATTGAGCCAGTTGAAGGCCAGAATGACGGGATGGTCTCTGTTGAGTCTAGCAAATGGGGGACGTATAAAGGGACTCTGAACCATGTCAGTCATTTGGACTTGATCAATTGGACAAATCGGCTGAGGTGGTATTTCTGGCAATTGACAGGAAAGAAGAAGAAAAAGTGAGTCCTTCTGATATTCTGCGATATCGAATAATACTGGTACTGACAAGGCCTGCAGCTTCAACGCGATTGCGTTCTACCTGAGCATTGCAGATATGCTCGCAAAGGAGGGACTCTGAAGCTTTGAGGCAGAGTCGAGGCTTTTTGTAAGATACGCCGCGATGCGGCAGGAGGTAGAGTAGAGTTGTCTTCAAGTATCCGCGAGCCGGACGCGCAGGGGCAATGGGTCCACGACAAGAACCTAGAAAGTCAGTGTAACAGTCGTACATAAAAAGCTACATGAATTGCAATTGCACCATAATTCCACGCATCGACGGCTCGCTATTGCCTTTCATCAGACAATGCAGTCACTAAAGTGAACCTTCTTCATATCCATTTAGGGTTGGGCGTAGGTCGAGGAGAAACCACGCATACATGATCACGCACGGGTGAATGTATGAGGCTTGTCTCAGATGACATGTATGCAGTGCAGTGCAGTAGGTAGTAGGCAGGTATCTCGCATCAAAGCCTCCCAACCTCTATGCAAACTTCATCCTTCGCCCTTCCGTTACAGCCGCTCTTATGCCACAGGCTGATCCACCCGCTCGGGTACCTGAGGTTGCACATCCATAACAGCCTTCAATAGATCCTCCACGACCTTGGGCCCGGTCTTCTTCCCAATGCCCTTGATCTCGTCCAACTTCTGATTCGTCTCCTTGTCCGCGTCTTCTTCGGCTTTCTTGTTGCCGGATGTGTGCTGCACGAGACACATGAATCGTCAGTGACACTGCTCTGAATGGTCGTGAATATGCATGGAGCAATATGTGTATGTACCTGCGACTCGAACTGCTTGAACTCCTCTTCTTTCTGGTTTCGGTACTCCCCGATTTCTTTTTGAGCTTCTGATCGGGCGTCCTTTACTCGTTTTGTTCGGTCTGTAGGTAGGAAGGACGAGGCGTTAGTAGGGAGGAACGTCATGCGCAATCGCAACGTGATTCAGGATCGTGGGTTCGGCGTACATTCTCTGGCTGTTTGGCACGTCAGTCGCTAGTCATGCCTGAAAATCCTGTTACAGCGTACCTTTCTGTACAATCTTCTGCGCCTCGCGTTCAGCCTAAGATCTTGATTAGAGCTAGTCGCAGCATGTGGGAATGTGGGTTCAGCGAACATCGAGCAGCGTCTGGATGCCTGCTGAGTTTTGGGCCGCCTGGAGCAATGTCAGTCCTGTTGTAGCATCACGAATGTATTCAACTATACCATCTTGATTGAACAACGGCAAAGAGAGAGTGATTGCCTGTGGAATTGGTGGTCGATGTTGTATAGCGCCGTCGAGGTGGAGCTTGGGTGCAGTTGGCCTGTCTCGGATCGCGCCGAGACACGACACGAGGACATGACATCTTCCAACGCTTCTTCACTTTCAATCCTAGTCCATCTACGAATCAATCCTCACGATGTCGACCGCCGCGAAGCTAACGCTCGGAGGTACTATCGTCAGTGCCATTGGCATTGTGATATTCGTGCATCGCCAGCAAAAAATTGATCAAGCAGTGAGAGCTACAGGATTGGCCGAAACCCTGGTACATTTTGCTAACTGTATATGCAGCTCATGCATGCTGGTGTTATACGCGATATGGAACAACAAAGGATCAAAAGAGAACGACAGGCAGATTTTGAGATGCAGCGGCAGTTGGAGGAGCAATACAAAAAGCTGCAGAATGTCAGCGACAGCACAGATGGACAAGTCAAGGCCCGGTGAAGCCAGCATGGACACATACACCTATGGGCGCCTATTGCGAGATCGAGAGGTACAATTGGCGTGAGAGGGGACACTTTGAGGCCTCAGAGGATGAATGAGCATCAGATCCGCGCCAGCGGTGACCTGTAAGATCCACACAAGCCGTACAGAAGGAGGCGCGTGGCAGCATCGACTGCACTATCAGAACTTCGCACCTCCTTACAGGTCGAAAAGTGCCGAGGTTGCGAGGTTCTGACGCCTGGTGGAGCTTCTTCCGCTGAAGATAAGGGCCCCAAGATGAGTACAACATTGGCCACTGTCTCCAGCTTCTCTGCTGCACAGAGACTTCTCCTCGAGGTACCTGTCTGCCCGAGAGCACTCTACCAGGAATCCATCTTTTGCAGATTGGATGTCGTGAGCAGCAACGAATGGGCCTATAGGGCATTGGAGGAGTGGGAGAACGAGGGCAGGATAGCCTGCTGTTCCTGCCGTGAAGGGGAGAGCAGCGAAGTGGTCGAGGTGATCTAGGGGTCGATGTGACCTTGCAATGAACAAGCCAGCTTCTTCAACCATTCTTGGTCTAGCCTGCTTCTGCAGCGGTGGTTCTAAAGCTATATCACCTTCTGCTGTCCTTCGCGAGCAACCTGCGCACCGCTGGGGCTCTTGTTCGTCTCTGATACCAATCACATATGAGCACGACGCCCTCTTGCGGTCAGTGGCCACCGACTCTCCACGCCTATCTCTGCCTCTAGTTCAGCCTCGGATAGACTGCCACTCCAAGATCCTCGCACTCCGTCTCGACCATCTGGCCCCACAGCTTGTACTTCATGATGAACTCCATCATGTTCCCAATGTGGCTTCTGGCCGTTTCCTCGTCCATGTCATCGATCTTCTTTCCGAGCAACCAGTCTCGATCACTATCGAGTAGCCTCTCGTCCCACATGTCAGCCAGCCAGGGCGCCAGTGCTGGCTGGTTTTTCTCGACAGAGCCCCTCAAACTGTCGATTGCGCACCGAAACTGCCCATCGTGAGATTTGAGAAGGCCGCAGACGTACATGGCCGCTCTCTTGGCGATATTGAGTGGGATGCTGCTCTTTTCTGGGATCAGAGAGGGATCGAGCTCCATGACTGCAGCATCAACGCCGCGCTTGAGCTTGAGCATAGCATTGTCTTCTGGCGAGTTACCGGGCTTGTCGTACAAGTAAAGGTCGTTCGGATATGGGGAAGGAGTGAAACGCGTATCATTGCGTGCTTGTTTCGCAGCTCGTTCGAGGATTCTAGTCTTGAAGTCGCTGACTGCTTCGAGTGCTTCCTGACGTGCGGGGTTGAACCACTCGGTCTGCTTGCCTGAGCCCTTGACTGCGCCAGAGTTCTTAGGTTGGCCGAGGGGGCCCAGGTCGACTGGGCAGGTTGTTGCCTCTGTCTTCGTGGTATCACGCGCCCCGGCTTCTTCAACACCCCAGTGCCTCCTGTTCTCCTCTTCCCGGTCGATAGGGCTAGTGTCAGAGGACTCGGTCCCCTCTGTTGCCTTGGACGGGGCGAGCGACAGAGACTGATCGCTGCCAGCGTTGCTTTGCAAGTCAACGAGCTCACTGCACGTGCCATCGACGTTGGTCGCAGTGACAGGACCTGCGTCACTTGAGGTTTCGGTGTGACTGCTGCTTTCATCTTGACGCGGCTTTTTCTTCTTCTTGCGTGGCTTCGACAGGATCGGCGCGTGCTCCTCGGTGACGACTGAGGTCGAAGGCGGCTGGACCGGCGGCGCAATCGCTCCTGCCTGGGTGTTGATGGGCGAGCCGCTCTTCATTTTGGTCTTCTTGCCCTTCTTGGCTGCCATGTTCGTGCTGGCGCAGCAGGCTGTCGAGAACTCAAGCGACTGCAAGTGTGTCTTCGCTTTGAGTGATCGGAGTTAGTTGAATGAAGTACATATGTGATGAGAAGCTTGTGGTGACTGCTTGAGTCGACTCGAAGCTGCGGCGCTAGCAAGTGACGCGCAGGGATCAGCAAACGGGGATGTGAATTAGGAAGCAACGTGTTTGTATTATTTCTGAATCTTTAGGTTGTCTCAAGCTCCTCGTTCACCCTCTTCATCCTGATATCTGCGCAGATATACAAGCTGCTTCTGAGATTTCCCATGCCATAGCGCCTGCCCTGTCCGCTGTTGTGTAGGTAGGACGTCTCTAGGTGTAGCCACACTGCACACGATGACAAGAGTTGTGACCTTGCTCGCGGTGGCAGGACATGCAAACAGTCCAACTGTCATTTGATGAGCTCTTGTTTTTAATTGGTAGAACCATGAGGATGCCGAAGTAGATCAAGCCGATAAGAAGGACTGTCCCAAACAGCAGAGCTAGCCGCTTGCCAGGGCTCAGTGCACGCCTTTTGTGATTCTTGTGCAGTGAGTCGACTCCTTCCTCGTCACACTCGGAAACTCGAATGTCGCGTTCTGATATGTCACATTCTGAGATGGCGCCACCCAGTATCAAACTCGCAGGAAGTGAGAAGTCCAACGGCTTCTAGCTCGCGTCTTCATCCTTGGCTTCAGAATCATCGGCCGTAGCAGCAGACGACGCAGCCTTCGGTGGACCTCCCGCCTTGGGAGGTGGAGGCGGCAGATTGCTCGCCTTGGAAGTCGGATTACCATCCAACTCCTTGCTTTTCTGTTCGCCTTCAGCAAAATAGTCGTCCAATCCTGATGCGGGCGCATGATGGGCTCGCGCCTTTTTGGCCTTTGCGGCCGGGGGCGGCTTCGTAGGTCCCCCGGCACCGTCCAGACCTGGGCTTCCAGATTTGAGATCCATATTTGCAGGAACCAGGAAGTCCCCGCCGGCATTTGGGCCACCCTGCGCGTTTTGGAGCTCACCACCAGGCTGTGGCGCGTACGTTGGCGGCGCGACTTCTGCACCATCGAACATCGTCTCACCAGGTCCAGTCGAAGGTTCTGCCAGCGGTGCAGGAATGCGATGCAGTGCTCCGTATCCTAGCACGCACCCGAGACTGCCTTCACCACCCCAGTTCTTGGCAGGCGTAATGGTCACCATCCTCGTCACGTCGTATTCCTGGTTGTATACCCAGAGTCTCAAAGCTGAGTTCATGTACCCTTCCACGAGCTGACCCAGAGCGTGGTTGCCGCGCAAGCCAACAACATCGGGACTTCCGATGACATAGTCCGAGTATGGAAGGAGCCCAGCAACGTCGGCAGGAGAGTTCGGCATCACGTCCAGAATGTGCCAGACATCATTCGCGATGTCAAGAGGAGCCCATTGAAGCGCAAGTCCTAGCGCATCTCCAGCGGGCGGAACAGAGAGATAGACTTCACGGATCTGACTGCCTTTTGCGCCAAAGACTCCAAGGCTAATGGTCGATCCAGCGCAGTTGCGGATCTCGGTCATGAACAAATTGGGGTCCGGGTTGTCAATGTTGTGCCCATTGATGCCAATGATGAAATCGAACCACGGCTCCAGGGGAATCTGGCTGTTGGTGTTGCGCAGCACATGGAAGCCATAGTGGTTGCCAGACGGCTGCGTAGAGCCCTGAGTAGAGGCGGTGGTCGTGTTTGGATCTGAGTCCAAGCGTGATATGAAGCGATTAAGGGTTCCGAAAAGGTTGGCCATCTTCTCAGAATCTGTGACGAGTGTGCGGAGTTGGGCTGTACAATTAATTAATGATTGCTCTGTTCAACGGTTGTTGTTGACAAGAAGCGTGAGGTGGCAGTTCAACAGGCCAAGAGCGACAATGCTCTTCGCTCGGTCGAACGTTCTTCCCGCTCCGAAACACTTCCTCGTTGGCTCCTTCTCCTGTGCATATGGTAATCGCGCCTCAGACAGGCGGTCACGCCCAGATTGTATCTGGAGGGGGAAGGGGGAGCGCCGTGGTAGATCCTGATTATTGATTTGAATGCAACTGCGACACTGTCAACTGTGTCTTGTCGTTCTGAAGATTGGGGTAAGAGCGTAAGTGAAGTGGTCTTTCCACGTTTGATTGGACGCACGACGCATAAAAAGTGATCACAATTTCGTTATCATTCATTTCATGAGTGAGCCCGAAGATGGCTCTCTGATCTGATCTATCGCTTACCCGCTTTTTGCCCTCACCTTCTCTCGCCCTCTCTCAGTACGGCCACTGCCAGTTGTTATACTCCTCCACATCCAGGCCCGTCTCCCACGCGTAATTCTGCGCATGCAATCTCCTCTCGATCAGCTTCTCCCTCGGTCCTGCCCCCTTGTTGCCCAAGACGTCAGACAAATGCTCGATCGCCAAGATCGCAAGCGAGTATCGATCAGCCTCATTGCGAATCGCGAGCTCCAGAGGCGTGTTGATATTACCCTTCTCCTTGTATCCACGGACGTGCATCTTGTCTTGGCCCTTGCGGTTGTACGTGAGGCGATGGACGAGCCATGGGTAAGAGTGGAAGTTGAAGATGACGGGCTTGTTGTTGGTGAAGAGGGCGTCGTATTCAACATCCTTGAGGCCGTGTGGGTGATAACCATGTGGGATCAGTTTGAAGAGATCCACGACGTTGACAAAGCGGATCTTGAGGTCGGGAAGATATTCGCGAAGTAAGGCAGTAGCGGCCAAGGCTTCTTGTGTCACGACGTCACCGCAAGATGCGATGACTACGTCTGGCTCGGAGCCATAGTCGTTCGATGCCCAGTCCCAGATGCCGATGCCTCGGGAGCAATGAGTATTTGCGTCCTCGACATTGAGGTATTGAAGATGGTTCTGCTTGTCTGAAACCACCACATTGACGTAATTCTCGCTCTTGAAACAGTGGTCCATGGTCGAGAGCAGGGTGTTGCCATCTGGCGGCAGGTAAACGCGCACGACCTCCGGCGACTTGTTGATGATGACGTCCAGGAAGCCAGGATCTTGGTGAGTGAAGCCATTGTGATCTTGTCGCCAAACAGTACTGGTGAGCAGGATGTTCAGAGAAGCAACAGCTTGTCGCCACTTCACCTCCGCACACTTCTCCAGCCACTTGGCGTGTTGGTTGACCATTGAGTCGACAATGTGGATGAACGGTTCGTATGAGTTGAACAAGCCGTGACGGCCACTGAGAGTGTAGCCTTCCAGCCAACCTTCGCAAGTGTGCTCAGACAGGATCTCCATCACACGACCATTGGGATCAAGGTTGCCGCCATCTCGATCTTCTTCGAGCATTCCGTTCACCCAAATCTTCTTGCCAGCTTCGTAGACAGCGGACAGCTTGTTGCTTTCCGTCTCATCAGGACCAAAGAGACGGAAGCTTGTCTGATTGTTCTTGACAATGTCCCGCAAGAAAATTGCAAAGTTTGACATTCCCGATGCACTTGTGACGCCAGCCTTCTTTACATCAATGGCGTATTCTTTCCAATCGTTCATACGCAACGGCTTCTTCAGCAGTCCGCCATTGGTAATCGGGTTCTCACTCATCCTCTTGCCCTTTGGTGGTGCTAGCTCCTGGAGTTCGGGAACGAGCTTACCTTCCTCGGTGAAGAGTTCCTCTGGCTTGTACCCTCTCATCCATGTCTCAAGGGCCTTGAGCTGTTCTGGGTCCGTGTGCACCTTTGTCAAAGGCACTTGGTGAGCACGCCAAAAGCCTTCGAGGTAGTGTCCTTCCACTTTGCGAGGGGCAGTCCAGCCCTTTGGCGATCGCAGAACGATCATAGGCCATCTTGGTCTAAACACCTTTCCGGACTCACGAGCCTGTCTCTGATATGTTCGGATCTCGTTGATACAGCGCTCCAGCGTGCCGGCCATAGCCTGGTGCATTGTCTCGAGGTCACTGCCTTCCACGAAATACGGTGTCCATCCATAGCCCTTCATCAAATTCGTAAGCTCTTCCTCGTCGATTCGGGACAGAATCGTAGGGTTGTTGATCTTATAGCCGTTCAGGTGAAGTACAGGGAGCACAGCGCCGTCCTTGATCGGGTTAAGGAACTTGTTGCTGTGCCAGCTCGTTGCCAGTGGTCCAGTTTCGGATTCGCCATCGCCGACGATCGTAAGGGCGATTGTGTGTGGGTGATCGAAGACTGCACCGAATGCATGGGAAAGTGAGTAGCCGAGCTCACCACCTTCGTGAATTGATCCTGGAGTCTACATTTCGTCAGCTCGCCGTCGCGATTCTTTGGCTCTCGCAGCCTTACCTCCGGCGTCATATGACTGCCAATGCCACCTGGAAATGAGAAGGACTTGAAGAACTTCTGTAAGCCCTCAACATCTTCACCCTTGTTCGGGTACACCTCGCTGTACACGCCTTCCAAGTAGAAGTTCGAAATCAAGCCAGGCGCGCCATGTCCCGGGCCCGAAATAACAAAAGCGTCCAGATCGTACTTTTTGATCAGTCGATTCATGTGAATGTACCTGTCAGAACATCTGTGTTAGGCCAGAGTAGAGTAGCTTTCAATCAGAACTCACGTGAAGGACTGGCCAGCATCACTGCCCCAATGCCCCAGCAATCTCGGCTTGAAGTGCTCCTTCTTCAGAGGCTCTCTGAGCAGTGGGTTCTCCTTCAGGTACAGCATGCCCAAGCACAAGTACATGGAGGCGTGGAACCATTTTGTCATCTTGTCGATCTCATCTTTGCTCAATGGCTGCTCATTGATCGTGGACCGAGTCTTGGTGTAGACAGACCAGACATTCTGCTCTCCAGTCAAGCCTTGTGCTTCATCAGTGTTCGCTGCATCGGTCGACGCGGACCGAGCAGGTAGCGAGTCCATGGTCGTCGAACGAAACCTGTGCAGGTGAGAAGAAGCAGTGTTGAGAGAGGTGATGGGAGGTAGTAGAAGAGGAAGAGGGCGAGAAAGGGCACCGCTTCTGCGCTCAGCCTTATGAAAGACTTTGCACAAGAGCTACTGTCTCTCCGGGATCGATGCCGCGATCAAATGGAGCTCTTCTACGCAGAATGGCAGTCATTTGCAAACTGATTCTCGGAATGCCCGGCTTCCTTCTCACCAAAACCGCGTTTGCTCGTGATGCTGCTGATGATGCATTGGGTGACGTAAAGCCGCATCGTGAGGGACCCATAATTTTCAACACGAACCTCGTGCGAACCAGTTCCAGGTCACTCGACAATGGCAGAACTTCAGTTGTAGCTGGTTGTCAGCAGATACTGGGATCATGTTCATGACTTTTGAAAGGTTCTGAAGCGTAGTCTGCACGTGATGATCTCCAGGCAAGCATCGCTGTCGGAAGAGAACGCGTGTGGCGTGAGGAACGCGTCAGATGTGGCGCCGCGGCACCGATGAGACCTGCTTGTGCAAGTTTTTCACAATGGTACAACTCGTTCCTGTCAAGTTACACGCATGGGCATGTAAGCAGTTTGCAGATGTGTCGAAAGAGACTGGCGTGAAGTTGAGCCCCCAAAATCTGGGCAAGAGCTTGTCACTAGCAGGGGTGCCTGTATGCTACGCGACAGTCGAAGAGCAATCGACAAAAAGTATCAGGAACTCCCAAAGACAAGAGAACTATCTGCAAGTCTCGGAGGTAGCTTTATTACTGTCGAAGATTTTGGAAACTCGTGGTAATTGTGAGTAGCATTGCATTGCTTCCTCTTGTCCTTTTCGCAAGTTGCTTAAATCAAGATGTAAACTGCGCTCATGCGCAGGGACGGCATATCATGCTCACGTCCAACTCGTTCCTCAAGCCTGCCGAACGCCCACGCTCGAAGCAAATAAACACAACATCAACAATCATCAAACCAATCTCCCTCGTCCACCTCTTCCCCTAGGAGCTGCAGGCTCGCCCATCTCGCTGAAACCACCAGCGCTCGTCGTCCGGCTCATCGGCTCAGCACCTAATCTGTTGTTCAAAGCTGCTGCCATGGCACCGCCGGCTGCATGGGCTGCAGCCTCTGTTGCGTTGTTCTTCAATCTTGACTCTATTCGCACCACGACAGGCTGTACAGGGGCGAAGCCAGTCCTCGGCTCTCTGTCTACGCCGCGTCCAATCATGGCGCCCGGACCTGGCTCTAATTGTGGTAAACGGTATGGTGCTTGTACTCCTGAGACACCAAGTGCCTGATCAAGGAGCCTTCGTCGCAGTTCTTTCGCTTCGTCTGCTGCCAAAGTGTCCATTTCCACATCTCCATCTTGGTCAGGAAGATAATGGTCCGCTCCTGCGTCGCGCATCATGTTGAAGTCATTTTCCATGTCAAGACTGCTGACAGGAGGAGGCTGTGGAGCTCCAGATTTCTCTGCTCTTGACGTCGCGTGGAAGCTAGGCTGTTCGGGTGTGAACGGATTCTTCCTAACCACAGGCTCTGTAGATGAAGCTGCGGCAGCGGCGTTGGCAAGATCTGACAAGGCTGCCAGAGGATTCGCCTTGGCTCCGCCTCTCGTGAGAACTTGATGTGAAGTCTGGCGCTCCATGCCAACTGCTGCTGGTGGTTCTGAGGGTGGAGGTGTGTTTGTCCCGTTCGCGTCTGCCATGGTCTCGTCCGCTTGGCCTTCGCCCGACTCCACGACCTCGCCGTCCAATGATGGTACTGCAGTGCCGTTACCATTCGACGAAGGTTCCTGCTCTTTCTGATAAAAGTATTTGTATGTTGCCTTCTTTGCCAAATCAGTTGCCAGAGCAAGCTCTTTCTCGGTGAACAACCTCTCCAGGCTGTATGCTGGTGCCTCGAATTGCGCATACTCTCGCGTGCTCTTCGCTTCCTTGAAAGGACTTCTGCCTCCAAAATTTGGTATGGGCGACTCGTTGCCATTGTCGTCTTCGGCTCCCAATTTGCGCTTTCTCTTGCTGCTCTCACTGTCAGCACCTGCAGGTGCTGGACTCGCTCCGCGATGGTGTCTGAGATGTCGTGTTCGCTTGTTCACGCCCAAGCCATTGTGGCTCGGGGAAGCACGATTGTTGTTGATGCTGAAGTGGTTTGGATGGAGCAGCATGGCGTTGCTGTCAGAAATGTCGAGCTGGTCTTTGTCTCGTAATAGCTGCTGTCGCTTTTTGTTCAATGTGCCGATTAGTCGTTGGCGAATGGTATTGGACAGCTCGCGATGCTCTTCTTCGGCTTGCCGAAGGCGTTGCTGATGCAGTCGGTCCAACTCTTGCAGCGCTGCTTCGTGATTGTTCTACAGGTGGTCAGATCGACGCTCTGGCGCAAGCAACTCAGGTGTAACTTACGTGGAGCAGTGTGAGATCCGCATCACGCTTCTCAATAGCATCATTGACCTCTCGTGCGAACTCGCCGTATCGTTTTCCAGCCGTCGCCCAAAAATCAGTCTTGACATTCTCGTCGTCTGGCAATGTCACACCTCCGTTGCCCGAAGCATCCGACTGCATGACTGCCTCCACCAGCTCCCTGATCTCTTCATGGCTGTCTGGAAGCGCCCCTTCAGCGTAGGGTTCCGCACGAAGCACCAATGTCATATCGACCTGGACGCCTTGCAATTGTGCTCTGTAATGCTGATTCTGGTTGGTCGCAAAGCCATCCACCATCGCCTGCAACTTCTCCATGATGCGATTTCGTCGGACGTCGCGTTTCGTGAGGGGTTGTGGTTGTGGTGATGCTGAAGCATCGAAGATCGAGGCATCTTGGTGGTTGATAGCCATAGCGTGAACGAGCTACGAGCGTCGAGACGCACGCAGTACCAAACTCGTTACGACAGTGGCGCTTGTTGCTGGAGTAGGGTGTATGTACGGTGGAGGAGTGATTCGGAAGAGAAAGCAGCTGAGCAGCAAGAGATCGACGCCGACAACGCTCTAGTGGGAAGTGTGCTGAATCGATCGTGAAGCCAAGCAGTCGTGAAGTTTACATCGCAGCAGGATTATGTCGTTGGCATGAGAGATGGTGATATGATTGCATGCATACAGCAGGGTGTAGAGTGTGTTGGTAGCATAGAGCTGGCTGCTTTCCCTTCACCTTGAATATCGGCACAAACCATCTGACTTCGCCGACTCGGGATGCACGACCGAGGAGCGATGTCATCGCTTCATCCCGCTTTCGGCTTAGCGCCAGCGCGTCCAGAACACACGTCGCGACTTGAACTCTCACGCTCAGCACTTCTTCTGTCCAACAATTGCAGCATCGAACATCACGCAAAGACACTGTCTTCGACCCTTCTAGCATGTCTACGTTCATGCACTGGACCCTCGCACATGACGGTGAGCTATAGCTGCGCCAGAAAGTCTCCACCAGAGCACTTCAGCCGAGACCAGGAACAGGCAGGTCAGCTAGGCAAGATGCGGGGAGGATTGTGCACCCCATCCTGAGCTCAGTATTGCATATTTCTCCGCCTGTCATTGATGTCCGCCTCGATGGTCTCCATACGGACTGAGTTGGTCCTTGATGTATTGGGGGCCAGCGGCACTCATTGTCGCGAGGCAGGACGCAGTGGATGCTCATAGGTTTCGCCCTCGGAGGCAAGTATAACTCTTCGTGTTTCCTTGTGTGAATTCGGCCATCCATACGCACTGGCGATGGCTCTCTTGCTACTGACGGCTGCTATTGCAGCTCTTGCTACCGCACAATCACATTATCCAACAGGAAATGACTCCTTGGCCAAAGCTCCATACAAAGATGCATCAGTCCCTATCGAAGACCGAATTAGCGACCTGCTGTCAAAAATGACGATCGAAGAGAAAGCATTGCAATTGATGCAGGGAGATATCAGTAATTGGTTGAACACTACTGATGGCAGATTCAACCGTACGGGATTGGAGCTCAATTTCGCACAGAAAGCCGGGATGTACTACGTTGGCTACCCAATCTCATGGGACTGGCTCGCTGATAACATCAAGATCGGACAAGACTATGCCATGAATGAAACCCGTCTTGGCATCCCGGCAATAGTGCAGACCGAAGGCATACATGGCTTCCTCATTGGGAACGCGACCATCTATAACAGCCCGATAGCGTATGCTTGCAGCTGGAATAGGACACAAGTTCATGACATGGCGGTGCAGATTGGCGAGGAAGCACGAGCTCTTGGTGTCTCTCAGTTGTTTGCGCCAGTACAAGATCTGGCTCGCGAGCTGCGATGGGGCCGAGTCGAAGAGACATTTGGAGAGGACGGCTATCTTGCAGGAGAGATCGGCCTCGCGTACGTGGTTGGACTCCAGTCGACGAACATTAGTGCCATGGTAAAGCACTTCGCTGCCGATAGTAAGCCCGAGCAAGGTCTCAACGTAGGTAAGTGTAGCCACTGGAAGGTAGTTCCAAACCGCCGACAAGCTTATCTCAGACATCTTCGTACCCCTTACTGACTACTTTGGCTAGGACCGGTCCAAGGTGGCGAACGTGAGCTTAGGACTACATGGCTGCCACCATACAAGAAAGCGATCATTGACGGTGGCGTCTGGTCAATTATGAGCGGATACAATTCTTGGGATGCTATTCCAGTCGTCTCTGATCACCACTTGCTGGAAGAAATCCTGCGTGAGGAGTGGGGCTACGAGTTCTATGTTATGTCGGACGCAGGCGCTACCGACCGGTTGGCAACACCAATGCACATTTGCCCGGCACCTTTGAACAAGTACGGCAGTCCGATCAATGCAGGCAACGAGTGCGTCACTCTCGATGCATTGCCCGCAGGAGGTGATGTCGAGATGGGCGGCGGCTCCTTCAATTATCGTTCCATTCCAGATCTAGTAGCCGCTGGCCGCCTGGAAGAAGCTGTCGTTGACACGGCTGTCGCCCGCGTTCTTCGCACCAAGTTTGCCATGGGCCTCTTCGAACGACCTTACCAGATTGTTGCCCCTGAGGAACGCGAAAACGTAATAAATACTCCGGCTGCCAAGCAACTTGCTCGCGAGCTCGACCGAGACAGTATTGTCCTTCTCAAGAACGACCAGAACATTCTTCCTATCTCGAAGGACAAGAAGGTGGCCGTCATCGGTCCCATGGCCCACGGCTTCATGAACTACGGCGACTATGTCGTCTACCGAAGCCAATACCGCGGCGTCACTCCACTTGATGGCATCCAGGCTGCCATTGGAAACGACTCTGTGACGTACGCTCAAGGGTGTGAACGCTGGTCAAATGACCAATCCGACTTTCCTGAAGCCATTGCAGCTGCTGAGGCCGCAGATGTAGCAGTCGTGGTTGTGGGAACTTGGTCTCGCGATCAGCAAGAGCTTTGGCAAGGTCTAAATGCTACGACAGGTACTGATTTCATCCCCGGGTATTCTCGCAACCTCCACTGACTCTTTATCATAGGTGAGCACGTCGACATCAACTCTCTAGACCTAGTCGGAGCGCAACGACCTCTCCTCGAAGCAATAATCAACACCACCACTCCCACCATCGTCGTCTTCAGCTCCGGAAAACCAATAACAGAAGCCTGGATCTCCAACACCACCGCCTCTCTCCTCCAACAATTCTACCCCTCGGAACAAGGCGGCCACGCCCTCGCCGATATACTCTTCGAGGGCAACACCAGCCCCTCAGGCAAGCTCTCAGTAAGCTTCCCATACAGCGTAGGAGCATTACCCGTCTGGTACGACCACCTAAACTCCGCCCGCCAAATCGGCGACTCCGGCAGCGTCGACCCTATAACCGGCCAAATCACTTTCGGCCACCAATATGTCATCGGATCACCAGACCCCTGGTTCCCATTCGGTTTCGGCCTCAGCTACACGAATTTCACCTACGCTGACAGCGTCTCCCTCTCTTCCACTAACGTCTCCGCCACCGATACCATCACCGCCTCCATCGAAGTGACAAACTCCGGTCCCGTCGCCGGCGCAGAAGTCATTCAGCTGTATATCAAAGATATGATCGCCACAGTCGACGTTCCAAATATCCAACTCAAAGGTTTCGAGAAAGTCTTCTTCGAGCCGGGCGAGACGAAGAGAGTCAGCATTGAGTTCAATGTTAGTGATGTAGGACTCTGGAACCGGAAGATGGAATATGTTGTCGAGCCTGGTGAGTTTACGGTGTTCTTGGGAGGAAGTTCGGCCGATTTGGGCAGGAATGCGACGTTTTGGGTGGAGTGAAAACAAAACAGCGGAGAACGCACGAGAAATGAAATGAAATTCAAGAGAAGATTGAATATAGGTCACACAACGTGAAGAGGGGGAGAAAAAAATGCAATTTCGGTCATTCTATAGTCTATGTATATCCTTCCATCGCTATCTTCTACACCTTTTTGGCAAATTTCTGAAGACAATGCATGGTTTCTGAGGTATCCTCCTCTGAGAAATTCAGCGCGCGTTTTTGTCTCCTGTCCCTGAGAGACCTCGTTCCAATCTGCACATCTCTGGAAAAGGCCCTCGGCCTCTCAACATCTGCATTTCAAGCTCTGTCGCCTTTCACGCTCACCAAATTTCGAAGTATCAGATGCTGCTGGTACTCGACGACCTGGAAGGTATTGAAGGTCTCTAACCCACTCTGTTCAGAGCTCCAGAAGCTTCGACAGCCCTCGAAATTTCGGAGAAAGCAATTCTGCTGCTGCGTGCCTCTGCCAACTTCTCATAACTCCGAGGCACTCAGCTCAGACATCATTGCCGCGTCGTCTCCAGAAGCATTTTGGGCAGCATCTGGATATTGCTATGATAAATTCAATCTTCCCCAAGCTTCGAGGATCACCTAGCATCCCAGGCGTTGCCAAGTCCGGTGTATGACCGTATCGTTCTGGTAATTATGATTCACGCTATCTTACGTGCTTTCCGAACATGTTGCGTATCTACAAGGCTCTCTGCCTGGGTATCAGGAAATCCCTGCGCCTTTGCAAACTTCAGAGCGTTGAATGTCTCTTGATTCTATCGTCCCAGAACGCCTCCCATGTAGTTCCCGCTTGTACGCATGCAAATGTAATGACCTCGCCATGTCCCAGGGATAAACCTCATACCAGCAGAACGAGGCCTTTCTCCTTCAACCTCTCATTGCCCCGTTTTCTCGTGTTTCTTCTTCTCCTTTTCCGCTTCGGCCTTCTTCGCCTCTGCGTCCTCGCGACTCCAATCATGTCCATATTCAACGAACTCTTTCTCTGGTCTCCCATTGACCAGGGCTTCAAAATTGACTTTCGTGCCGTACATGACGTTCTCGGTACTCGAATGTCGGATTTTGCCTGTGTAGTGCTGGATATTGCTCGCCTTGCTCATCGGTCCTGCAGCTCGATGCTGATTGAAGATCTGCGGGTTGACTGTAAGACAGTTGTGCATTTTTCTTCCATGTACTCCATCACATGCCCACGCGAACATAAGATCCGCGGCTGCATCGAGTTTGTGGACGCCCATTTCGTAGACAAGTTTCCGTGCGCCGCGCTGAGACACGGCGTAGGCGATGGAGCAGAGAGGATCGGCTGTATGGCTAACGATGCGAGTACACTCTCCGTACGCGTCTTTGAGTTCGTTCTTGAACTTGCCACGAAGTTTCATCTTCTCGATGGGTGGTACAGTTATGTCATGATAGGCTGCGCGACCGATCGGGATATGGCCATCTGGGGAAGGCAGGTCCATGCCGCAGTGGCCGAGCCAGAGTAAGTCCCAGTCGTCGCCGTATGGGGTGATGGTGGGCAGCGGGTGGATGAGGCGATCGCCATCCTCGAACCAACTATTGTGAGCCTCTGGCTGTTGAAGAAGTCTTGAGGCTCGGGCGAAGCCTTGCATCTGTTGCTTGATGCGATAGTCCCTGTTTGGCGTCAGTGGGTGCGAAATCGAGAACTTCAAGTGGTTGCACTTGCCAGTCAACGTCGCTTTCCATCACCACAGCAGAAGAAATATTCTGCTCGACAATCATTCTCAGAACATCCATGTGTGCTCGCCACGCTCCAATGGCAGAATTATTGGTGCCAAAATCATCTGCATGCGGTGGGAATGCCTTTGGGTCCTGTGGAGCAGTTTTGCCATCGACAATGTCGATCTTGAGATCCGTCAGAGCAGCGGCCAGCTGGAGCGAGTCCCGCAAGTCGGTTCGAGAGGGCATGATGATCGAATAGAGCTTTTCAAACTGCCTCGATGTCAGAATCAGCCAGACTCTGCGTGAACTTGCACAGTCGAGGGAATGCGACGACCCACGCCCAGCGTTTGATTGAGGATATCATTGTAGAGCTTCTCGCCGTGTATGGTCTTTTTGGTGAAAGTGGTCGAAGGATTGGCAAGAAAAGCAGGCACCATGTTGAGTTTTGAAGCGTCTTCCTCGGCCTTCATGGGCAACAGAGGCGCGGAAAGGGAAGTCATGACTGCGGCAAGTCAACAGCAAGCAAACGAGGGAAGAAAGAATCGGTCAAGTGACAGGAGGAGCGGGAAAGCAGGTGACTCTCACGTAGCATTGTTCAAGGTGGGCGAGCTCTCATCACGGAGTTCAGCCCTGTGTTCATATGAAGATCCGGCGCCACAGGCAGGAACGTGCTAACTAGTGGCGATCACGCCGACGAGATGTTGTTGGTGTGTGTGGCCGTTGAGTTTGGAGCTAAAACCAAGCAAGAGCCCGCACGCGGGCTTACGTGACTGCTTGCTGATCGCTTGAACGAATCATGTCTTAAGCAGTAAGGAGAAAGTAGCGATCCATCGAGCAAGCGCGGCTCGTGTCTTGCTTGTGCTAGATGATCCGCCGCAGCAGGTATGTGAGGCTTGAAAATTCCACGTGTCTTGCTCGCCTGTACCAACCTTTGCACTGGCTCGCCGCCAAAAATGCTGTTTGTGCACCTTTCAGCATTTCATCATCAGGGGTTTGCCTGTGGCTTGCGCTGTCGCTCCTCGTTATTCGCCAACACCGTCTCGGGCGGCGCACCCTGACTGATGACAGCCTGCAAGCGGCCGCCTTCCATGAGACTTGCCGGCAAAGAACCTGACATTCGCTGACGAATGTCCACTGTCGTACTACTCATTATCCTTGGACGACGGGACAGACGCGGAGAAGACAGCAGCGATGAAGGTGTGATGGAAAGAAAGGAGTGTGCAAGTGTGCAAGGTTTGAGACGCGAAGCTTGTCGCCCCGCCAAGACCTCAACAGTCAGCCTCCACTCCACTTGCTCCATCTCCACAACTGTGCACACTCATCTCACGAACCGACATCCTTCGACGTGTTCGGGACTGCACCACCTCGCCAAACACTGCTTGCTGGATCTCACAAAGAAGCTCCAGTGCACGACGTGCGTTGTGCATCGCGACACGCCAATACCCACCCATTCCCACAACCCGAGACGGCACGATCCGTGCTACGAATTCACCAACACGACAAAGAAAGCATGGTCATTGGGAGAGCAAATGTAGAATGGTCTGCTGCACTAACAAGACAGTGTCCCGCAGCATGCTACTGATACTCACATCTCATCCAACATGTCCTGCACCAGCTTCTCCGCGTGAGCATACGTAGTGCCTTGAGTATGGCCCGGAGGCACAAATGCGAAGCTCGAGGAGTCGATAACTCGCAGAGACTGCACCCCGAACACGCGACCTTTGGAGTCCACAACAGCCTCCGGATCTCCCGCCTTACCCATGCCACCTAAATGAGAGTCAGCACATTTTACCATCAGCTATTCGATCAGAGTGATACTCACATCCACCTCCCGCGTGATGGATTGCACCAATCCTCGATTTCACTGCCTCCAGGATTTGAGCATCGGAAGTGACGTTCGTGCCAGGGAACATCTCGCTTCCCACTCGAATGCTGGGGTCCAACGATTGAAGAGCCTGACGCGCAACTTTGTATCCTTGCACAGCAACCTCTTGATCAATCGGGTCGCGAAGCCAATTCGGATTGATGACGGGAGCATCGAGGTTAGAAGCGGACCGAATCGTCAGATTGCCCCGAGAGGAAGCAGCGATCAGAAGAACGCCGACCGACGCCATGACTTTGTTGGTCGCGTTCACACTGAGCGCAGTTTCACTGCTTGCAATATTGAATTCCACTTCCGGCCAGTCGGATGGCAGTGCCTCAAGCGCTGCACGAGCATTTGGAGACATTTGTGCCCGGACTGCTTCAGGAATTTTATACCAAGCCACGGTTCCGCCACCGCCGGTCGAGAGGGGCCCTGAAGCGTTGTTCAGAAGGAGACTGTTGGCTTCCCAAGTACGCTCTGCACTACTGCTATTGCGAAGAGCTTCGTACTCCGGCGCCTTGATCTCGTAAGAAGGACCACCTATTGAGCAAGAGTCATGGATGTGTTGTCCAACTCCAGGCAAGTCGGAGACGACAGAAATATTGAGGCTCTCGAGAGTCGATCGGGGACCGATGCCCGATACCATGAGGAGCTGAGGTGAGTGCTATAACAATGAAGTAAGCAATTGTCGCATGTATAGGCTTGTCGTCCATGATCTTAGGTCACGACATTACTTACCCATGCTCCAGCAGCACTGATAACTTCTTTTCTGGCCGAAAGGATGAAAGGATACTGGCCATTGATCGTTACGTTCACGCCGGTGGCCTTGGTATCATTGAAGACGATATTGCGAGCTTGAGCATTGATGTAAGTTGTCAATGATGGTCGGCCAAAAGCTTGCTGGAGCAGAGAGCTCTCAGCTGAGCTGCGCAACCCTGTCTCTGGATCGACGGTATACTGCCACCAAGCGTAGCCATCTAGCCTACCACTGCTGGAACCAGGCTGCCTCTGCAGACCCATGGCCTCGAAGACTGCAGGCGCATAGTTCGAGACTGGTTCCACGTATGCCGGTAAGCTGACCTGGAGGGGCCCTCCTTCGGCGGAATATGCGTCCGCATCGTAGACTCCTGCGGCTGTGTTCTCTGGCCTCCGCTCTGCGTTTGGGGAGAACTGCATCGTTCGTTTGAAAAATGGTAACATGTTCTCCCATCGGTAGGCATCATCGCCTACTTTCTCGGCCCAGGCGTCGTAGCTTCCTTCGCTCCCGCGATGATAGAGCATTTGATTGCGGCCACTGCTGCCACCAAGATTCTTGCCTTGGGTGTAACGAATTACGCGACCATTCTTTCGAGCACAGTCAGCAAGATCACCACTATCATACGAAGGCAGGTTCAGCACTGTACCACCTGTGGCTCTGTGCGCAAACCCCAGTCAATCAATTGCTGAGGCATGTCCGGCGCTTGTCGAATCCATCTGTTGGAGTCTGGCGAAATTTGGTCAGTTCCCATATGGTGGGTTTGCATCGCAAGCGGCTTACAAGCAGGAATCTGGCTCCAATTCCCATTGCCAAATTCATAGAAGCCACCAGCTTCGATCAATGCCACAGTCGCGTTGCTATGTTCTGTAAGTCGGGCCGCGACTACAGAGCCTGCTATCCCAGCGCCAACAATGACATAGTCATATTCGGCGTTCACACCTGGTATCCCAAACGCTGTACCAGTGAGTTGCCCTGGTCGAGAGTATTGCGGGACGACTTGGCTTTGGCATGCAGTAGAGAACAGCACAAGGCTCGTCAAAAGTGAACGTGCCATTTTTGTTGGCGTTGTGCTGTAGAGTGATCGGGAGAGATGAGGTCGAAAGAGACGAGCAGTCGAGACCTCTCTATCTTTGAAAATAACTACTTACTTCTAACTTCCAACTAGTTCAAAATCATATTTTCCATCGCACTGCATAGCATTGAGTTTAACCACGCAGTCATCGATCAGGTTAAACTAATGCCAGCAGCAACACAAAACGTCAAAATTTGCTCCATCACTGGTCGGAAGTGGCTTCCAGCTCAACCGCTTTGCACAAATGTCGTGGCAATAGAATCTGCTAGAGCGGCTGCGAGGCAGTAATTCTGCATTTCTTTCCGATCGATTTTAGATATGCGAATAGTAGCTTTGGTGTGGTTTGTTGTTTATGCACGTTAGTGGTAGTGGTCTTGCTGCTCTGGGTTAATGCACAACTCTGTCTGTTGACGATGACGCACGATCTACAGTGGCGAGCAGTGAGTTGGGAAGTTTCGCGGAGGGAGATCCGGAGCCGGACTTTGCTGTGCAAGTGCAAGTGCAAGTATTGCGAGGGTTGAATGCTTGTGAGAGTCTTCGGGAACGTCGTCGTATGGCTGTGGTGCGTGAGGGAGAGATGATGATGATGGGGAAAGGAGTGAGGATTTGGAGAGATGGACGTGCCTCCTCGTGAAGACGCTTCTTCGAGCTCACAAGGTTACATTAGAGATATGTTCTCGTAAGGACGCGCTTTCAGAAGCAGAGGCTGGAGACAAGATAATAGGACAGGGAGACGAAAGCGTGCCGAACCTTTGGTCTTTTCATGACAGGATTTGGCTAGACTGGGCGGCGTTTATGTCTGTCAAAGGTAAGCGCAATGCGTAGGATGGGAATCTATACATGTTCGGTATTCTCAAAGGTCTGGACCTTATGTGAGCTATCGCATGCGCAGGTGGAGATAATGGCATTGCATAGGTAGTTGGAGAAGTGCGGGATGCTGAGACGACTGAGGTTTGCATCTGCCATGACGCTTGAGCAAGTACTGATTAGTCGTTGTGGAGAGGGTTGGAGACTGGTCGGGTATGCTTCTGGGAATAGATGGAAGAAGGGCATGCATGTAGATGGACGGCAGCTGAGGCGGTTTGGAACGCAATGAGAGATTCGCGTGTCGTTATTGATCAAAGAAGTCGATTCTAGTCTTGGGCATCTGTGATGCGTTTCTCAATTTGCTGCGACTGCCAATCATGACTCTGCCTTCTAGGAGCTCGTTTCGAAATTGGCCTTGTTTGAATCCTAGGCTGCCCGTCAGCTTATTGTAATACCATTGAGAGTGTATCACCTACTTTCACCTGGAGCGTTTGCAGAATGGCTTGTGTGCCTTCCGGTCGGATGACTGGCATGCCTTGTCACAATACAGCACCTTCTTGCATCGCCCACATTTCTGGAAGATGGGTTGGCCGCTGTGCTCCGCTTCTTCTTCTTCATAACCAGTTCTCTCGACGCCACATCCCTCACAGTGCTCCACTTCGACCACGGCTGGACACACGTTCGTCTCCCAGCCTTTGCCCGGATACAAGGCTACCTGCTTTGCTGTGTACCTCTTGAAGAACATCTTGAATGCCTTGGGGTTGAGCTGCTTGTACTCATGCTTTCGGCGCTCTGGGTCAGAAACGTGGCGCATGATGGCAGCTAAGTGCTCCTCAATGAACAGCTCCATTGGTTCAAGCTGGAATTTCTTGGGAAGCGTGTCTTGCTCTCCAAGCCATTGGAACTGAACCGGTCTTGCCATCTTGATTGAGGTGTTGAATGTTGGGGAGTCTGGGTCACAGTCTGTACTCAGAAGGCGAAGGGTGGTGTTTTCATGGAGACCTTCTATGCCGTAGAAGCAATGATGTTCTTCGGTGGGAGTGGCGTAGATCATGCCTTTCACACCGAGACGAGAGAGGAACGGAACCTCTTTCCAGGTTAGGTCAGCGCCGCCGGGACGTGTTGTGATAGACTCAGGCATGAGCACGTAGCTAGGGTTGTCGGAATCTCTTGCAGCGTGCGCCCAAACGCTCATCATGATGGTGTAGCGGGCCGTCATGTCCATTGTTGTCTGGCTTGGCAGGCCGTCGGAAGTGTAGTATTTGTCTTGCTGGCAGTGGGTTCGAATAGAGAATGAGTTCGGAAGCAGAAGGAACGGCTTTGACGGAAAAGCGCGGAAGGAGAGGAGACAGGATACGCCGGAGAACGAACGCCTCTCATGGCATGATCTTTGGGGGCAAGCTGCACGATCCCGCACCGTAGAAGCGTGAGTGCGTCGTGTAGCTGCAGATAGACAGATGGCCCGAAGAGACTGGCATCTCATCGAACTTGCACTCAGTCATCGTGTTGTGATATTGCGACCGACCGTGAGAAAATGTTCACTTGAAAGTATCCTCACTCTTCCGCGAAACAGAATACTCTGCTCTATAGCTTATCTTGGACTTCTAGGACTTGCTGGAGTACGTCTGCATTCTACGAACGACGACGACGCGCCCGAGACCATGTTGCACAAGCGGGGGGCGTGCAGTTGGGATGGAAGAAGCAGACTTGTCGCAAAATGCTACATCTTCCAGCCTGGGGTGCCTGGCACCTGGATCTTGATTAATCAGTCGTACCAAACGTGCACGGCATATTGGTCTGCACATCGACGGGGTGAAACATGGTCCGCGGGATGCCTTCGATGTGGACGCTGAATCAAAGAGAAGTGAAGTTGATGGGCAGAGGACAGCATGAAAGTCTTGGCATCGTCTTGTGTTATCTCCGATATGTCCGTCGCAGAAAAGTGCAGCTGTGCAAGCCGACCTTTCACAATCCGCAGTACCGTATGGCAGCGGTTACGACCACGACAATGGTGCCCAAACCCGCCTCCAAGACGTCGATACCCACGACAGTGCATGATTTCCTTGTCCTCCCTCTCCAGTTACCCAAGACTGCTTCATATCCCAACGATGCGACACACTACCTCTACCTGCGCCCGAATGCGCCCAAAGTGCCCACCGAGACAACACCACGCGAAGTCTTCATGGTCAACATCCCTATCGACACCACCGAGGCTCACGTGAGACACCTATTTGCATCTCAACTCGGCGGCGGGCGAGTAGAAAATGTGGCATTTGAAGGCGAACGCGTAGGCAAGGGCATTTCTGCTCCAGTCGCGCCTGTTGTGCAGCAAGGCAAGAAGCGAAAGAGGGACGCGGCGGATGCAGAAAATGCTGCAGAAGTGGGAAAGTTGCCTGAGATATGGGATCGGGACATTCGAAGGAGCGGGAGTTCTGCCATTGTCACATTCGTGGATCAAGAATCCGCCAAATTGGCGTTGAAAGAAGCCAAACGGGCGATCAAATCAAAAGCAGAAATTACCTGGGGTGAAGGACTGCGAGACCTTCCGCGCTTGGGCAGCGCTCGATACAGGACGCATCACGCGTTGCGATTCCCAGATCATGCTGCACTGCAGGAGAGCGTAGATGCTTTCATGGCATCCTTTGCTGCTCAGGAGGAAGCTCGTGCGAAGCAGCTGGCGCGTCTGCGCAACGAACCTGACGCTGACGGGTTCATCACTGTTACAAGAGGCGGAAGGCAAGGTCCGGGACGATTGGAAGAGGCCAAGGCGAAGGAAGAGGAGTTCAAGAAGAGGGAGAAGAGTCGCATTAAGGAGGACTTCTACCGTTTCCAGACGAGGGAGAAGAGGAAAGAGGAGCAGCAGAACTTGGTGCATCAATTCGAGGAGGATCGCAAGAGGGTTGAAGAGATACGGAGGAGAAAGGGCAAATTACGGCCGGAATGATTCCACGAATACTGTGTTTGATCACTCCTGTGGCGCGCAAAATGTCCGAGCTCCAGAATATCCAGCAGAAAGCTTGCCCAGGTATCTCCTGTTTCCTCTTCCTGCTGCACAGCCGCTTCCCTTGCGGACAGCAAAATGAAAAATGGGGAATTCGGAGACATCAACACTCTGCGACCTCTGCACGCGCCCTCGATTCTACACCTGGCTCGCTTATCGAGATCGAACGTCCTGAGTACACTCAACAAGGCCGAGAGAATAGGAGCTCAGAACATTCAAGCTCCTCCAGTGAAGAACATCGATACAAAGTCTAAATTTCTGCTCAGCTTTCCAGTCGTGGCCTCTGAGGTGAATTCCAAGACCATTCTCCTGCTGTAAGAACAAAGAGATCATTCTTTGCTGGTCCGGATGCGGAAGGTCCGTGCGCCTCCCCATTGTCGCGAAGCCTTGACAAGTAGACAAAGGAACTGCTGCCGGCATGAAAACGCAATCGTTTTCTACACCGACAGCATGCTGTGCTGGTGGGCTCACTCACGTTTTCTCTTAAAGAATATTCCAGCATGGTATCTGATGCTGATTTGTGGAAATGGCTTGAGGTCAGGGGTTGGGTATGGTCTGGCAAGAAGGCGGCGAAAGCACGTTAGTTGAGTTCAACGCGAGTATTCTACACATGACACTGATTTTGAAAACAGCTCAAGGTGCAATGAGAAAAAGATTTCAGAGGCTCGATGCCGCTGATCAGGCACTCATTATTCCTATGATTACAGTTCTTCGCACCCGCATCAACGACCTTGCCACTGCTAGAGCCGCAGTACCTGTGCGGCCTCCTCCCAACGATCCCACAATCCTTGAGTATCAAGCTGCCCTTCTTGCTCTTCGTGTAGCAGAGCTGGAGGCAATCCAGGCTTGTAACCAAGTGCGAACTCAGCGCGCCCGACATGCGACTTCAGCTTTCACAGTGCGAGGTTTGAACAATTTCCGCGATGAAATTATCCAGCGCGGGCGGGACACGCAAGCAATAATAGACCAATTGGCGGCCGACCACCCTGCCGGCACTCCTCCACGAACTCCTCCTCGCGCTCCTTCAGGCGATGCAGATGATCCTTCCGCCATTCCGCCTCCGCCGACGGATGCCTGGCTTGGCGCTTTCCGACTTGCTCCAGGTGGTCAGGCGGCGCCTGTAGTCTATGTGAAACAAAATAGACATGGCCGTATAATCGATCGTGTGTGCATCAAAGACACCGAGTGGCCTGGGCCCGGCTCTTCGACTGGCGTAGAAGAAGAATCTCTTTGGGATCCTGATCCCGGCTTCGCTGGTGTTCAAGATCAGCACAGAACCCCTTCAGAGATCGGTGCTCTGAACAGGCTGAACCTCCTGCCAAACTCCCAAAGCATTATCAAGCTTCGGAATTGGGCGCGGATTTACAGTGACCCCAACCGAGATGTCGTTACAAAGTATCGAACTTTCCTGGAGTGGTGTGACTATGGCGACCTTTACGACTTATCGAGGAAATATACACCTTACAAAGACAGAGGGGGCATACCTCGCCCGCCGACTGTCGCAGAACAAGATTGGATACCCGAGCCATTCATTTGGGCCTGCGCTTTGCAGTTGGTCAATGCTGGCAAGCTCATGCAGAGAGGCGCAATCAATTCGAATCAGCCTCCCGAATGGTCGGAGATCATGTGAGTACTCCCTCCTACTACTGAAGATCTTGAGTAAGCTTGCTTACTCGATTGCATTTAGACATCGTGATCTCAAGCCTGACAACGTCTTCCTCGCCCATAATACGTCAGAACTATTCAAAGGCTACCCACAAATCAAGGTGGGCGATTTCGGACTGGCTGCTATCATATCAACCGCTCCTGCTCGGCACCTGACCGGTGCCCACTACTGTGGTATGGGCACCCCCTTGTGCATGGCCTGGGTCAGTTTGCTTCCAAGATCACCTCGCAATGAAATCATCTAATTGACATGTAATGCATAGGAACAATTCCGTTCAAACGACGATGGCTCGACTGGCCTTAGCTACAAAACTAACGTCTGGGGCATTGGTATCATCATATGGGGTCTCATGCATTCGAGAAGAAGTGCCCCCGACTTCTATCAAGACTCCATGACCAATGAGGGATACTATTTGCCTCGGAACCCTCGGACCGCTGACTTCTCCGATGAGCACAAAAACCGCTACAGCGATGAACTCAGAGGCCTAATACTGGACTGTCTGAGACCTCAAGCCGACGATCGTCCTACTTTTGATGAACTGAGCGAAACGATTGAATTCAACACGGCACAGCCTGGTGGATTCGGGCGGGACCTGTCGCAAGGGCTGAGAAAAGCTGCGAAAGATGACCCGAGATTTGTGGGGAACGTGTACTCGTTGAGATTGTCGGAGGAACGTTACGCAATGTACACTTTCTTGAGCAGGTCTATGGAGAACGCTCCAGCGCCAGTGAAGGGACAGGAGGAAGTGTTGACGGGACCCAATGTTGACCCGTTTGGCGTGGAACCAGGAGAAGGGATGAACGAAGATGGTACATTTCGTGAATAGCAGAATCACAAGACCAAGAGGCCAATCGCTCTCACACTCGCCTCATCCACCTTCTGTCATTCCTCTTGTCCAGAGATCTATCGTCGCTTTGTCGATTGACCATCTCAAACTCCAAAACAATGTCCACCTTCGTTGGCATTTCCCCGCAAGTGAAGCCTGTTCTCAAACTTGAAATCGCTCAAAACAGTTTCCACAACGGGTCCAACCACCTACTCATAACCCAAACACAGCCATTGTCTGCACAAATTCGCTTCTCCACTCTGGCATTACTTGCTCTGCCCTCTTCCACCAAGATTTCAAATCCACTTTGAGATTTGATCCTCATCGAACCACCCCCTGCATCACCAGCCACTACCTCGCCTAAGCCAAAGCGCAGCAAGAATGCCGACAAGTCGTAATTACTCGGCTGCAGAGCTTTCTGCACTGCCTCGGCTGGCAAAGCTTCGAAAGCAGTATTGCTCGGAGCGAGAAATACTGTCCTGTTGTTCACTGCCAGGTCCCACGAGGCGAGCGAAAGTCTAGTGAGGAAATCTGCTCTCAGACCTTTCAGGATGTCACTGAGAGTCGAGAGCTCCGGCGTAGTTTCCAGTATGTCTCGCATTGTACCAGTATGTTCGATGGCTTCGGGGAGGCCTTGATTTTTAGAGACTGGTTCGTCCACGCCAAAATAAGTGAACAAGCCGTCCAGGGTGTGATCAATCATGAAAATTGCTCCATTCGATGCAGGGATTCGGATGGGTTGGCCATCTTGTCCTTTGATGAGTGTTGCTTGATGATCTCTGGACCTTTCCGACTCGGATGTGGTGTTGGCATTTGTGAGTAGTTCTCCTTGTGCGTCGAAGCTGATGTCGAAGCCGCCAATGGCATGCACTGTACCTTGTTGCTGGAGATCGGAGAAAGTTGGCTCTCCGGGTGCGATGTGGTTGATGAGGATGCTGTAGAGGAGTTGATATGATTGAGGAGTCGTCAGGGCTGCAATTGTGTCTTGCGAGATGTGTGAAAACGCCTGTGTCGTTTAGCATTGACCTTGGTTTTGAGCTTGAATCTACTTACATCGTTTGTGGGAGCAAATGCAGTGAATTGCAGGCTATTGTTTGGATTGTTGAGGCGTTCCTCCAGAGCTGGACCTGGAATACCGGAAGCGCCTGTACGATGGTTATCAGGAGATCACTCAGTGCGTCAATCATTAAGTTTACCTCCAGTACTGCTGAATAAAGAATAGAAGATCGACAGCTCTGGTATGTTCTTGATCGTAGTCAGTAGCGGCGAGAGTGGTTCTTGTGGACTCGATATAACCGCCGACTCTACCACTCCAATGGCCGCCAATAGAAGCGAGCGGAGAATGAGCATCGTTGGGCTGTGCAGAATCACTGTACAGTATTTCTCTACACCTTCGAAGGCTTGCAGAGAATCCTATGAGGCGCAGATGTACGGAATTCCAATCTTGTGATTGCAGTCGATTGATAACACTAATAACAAGCAATTGAGCGACATGAGCTCGGAGAAGGAAAACGTTTCGAACCTTCCCTGCCGTTGGAGCCGTGATGCCAAGACATGTAGCACTTTTTCCCCAGGATTGTTGCAGGTGAGTCGTTGATACAAGTAGACAAGGGCAGCTTGTGGGCAGGACACGATCGGAGATGGCTTGCAGGACGCGATGTTATCCTTTGTGGCAGGACTACGAGTCGGCATCGGCTCGACACTCGGTAGGAAGTCCACCTGGTTGACTCTGTCACAGCTGTTGATTTGTCCAGCATCCCTTGACCAAGATTTTGAGCTCATCTTCTGGTCAAACAATAGAGTCTTGGCGGCATGCCTTGGAAGTGTCACAGCGTGATCATTCTTTTGCTGGCTGAGTCGTGCGTTCAGATCGCCTGATCGTTCCTGGCTACTGATTAGCCCAGCATTCGGTGAGAGATAGTAGTAGCTTCGCATTGTGAGAATGTGCCTCTGAGGATTTCTGGTTTGACGAAGGGATGAGTTTTGCGTAATTTCGACCTCTCGTTCTGCATGCTGATTCATTGGACAAGCCGCAAGCCGCGCAGCAGTCAAAGGTACAGCCCTGTTTGGCTTCACGTTTTCCAAAGATTCATCCCCCTACAGCTTGTATCGTAAGACATTCTTCGCAGCATCAGCTAGGACTCAGTCTTCTGATGAGCTACGCGGAATCATGCCTCCACTACCGCTGTGCATTTGATCTCCACCAGCAACCTCGGATTGGGTAGAGCTCTAACTTCCACAGTCGTCCTTGCCGGCGCGTTTGCTCGATCGGGCCAAATCTTGTTCCATTCGGCATTCATACCCGCATAGTCATCTTTCATGTTGACCAGAAAGACTGTGGCATCGACGACATCTGCGATGCTTCCTTTGCCTTCCGTACTGCCTTTGATGATGGTGTCAATATTGCGGAGCACTGCAGCGGTTTGTTCCTTGACATCAAGAGAAAGACTTCCATCGGCGCTCTCTTTCACGCCTTCCCAGGTGCCATCCCCGCGTCTTGAGGAGGTTCCAGACACGTAGATTGTTCTTGTTGCTGGTTCAACAATCCGTGCATGTGGGTAATTTGCCAGACCTTGTGCACTGCCGCTTGGCAGGAAGAATGGGGTGCTGTTCTGGTTGGCCGCCATCTTTGGGAACTTCTTGCAGTACGAGACAGATTCCTACAGTCTTCTGGATGGCAGCCAGCGGCATGGAGAGTGAGCAGAGTGCCAAGAGGTGTTGTTGTCGAGATGTGCTGAGGTACCGGCCCGAGAACTAGCTCCAACTGCCGCCGTGCCTTGCCTACTTTTCTCTTCCGACAACACCTTGAGCTTCCGTCAACGCATCGGAGATACGAACATCGACTGGTCGTCCATTACATCGGTATATGCAGCGTGCGTACAGTTGTAAACACGTCTCGACTGTACGCGCCACCTTCGCGTCCCGTGCCGGAGCTCTTCATGCCTCCGAAAGGAGTGGCCAATTGTCGGACCAGCCAGCAGTTGATCCATACCATGCCAGCTTCAAGCTGTTCGCCGACCCTCCGCATGCGTGATCCGTCTCTTGTCAGTACGACCGCTGCCAGGCCGTTGGGATTGTCGTTCGCTAGCCGAACAGCGTCGTCTTCATTCTCGAAGGGCGTGATCGTTACAACCGGCCCAAATATCTCATCACGAAGCACAGCGCTAGTTGTTGAAAGACCTGTAAGGATAGTGGGCTGGATCCAGTAGCCTTCTTTCGGGTCCTCAAGCGGCATCTCGCCAAGTTCGAACTTTGCGCCTTCTTGCGACGCGAGTTGCAGGTAGCCGCGGATTTTGCGATAATGCTGAACTGAGACAACAGCGCCAACTTTCTCGCCGACCTGATATGTTTTGCTGACATGAGATGTGTAGCGTGCGACGAAGTCTTCGTAAACAGATCTCTCCACGTAAATCCGAGAGCCGCATAGACAGATCTGGACGAGGTCAGTACTATCCACCTCGCGCAAAAAGCGCGGGTGCTTACCTCTCCCTGGTTCTCGAAAGCTGCTGCTGCTGCCGTCTTGATTGCGGCATCGATATCTGCATCGGCAAAGACCAGTGTTGGGTTTTTGCCGCCCAGCTCGAGGGACAAGTGCTTGCCAATATCATCGATGGTGTCCTTGCGAATCTGCAGACCGGTCGCAGTGCCGCCCGTGAAGCTGACACCGCGTACCAACTTGTGCTGCACTAGTGCTGAGCCGGTGGGCTGACCAGCACCAAACACAATGTTGATCACTCCTTTCGGAAGGCCTGCTTGTCTGAAAACATCTGCAAGAACTACGCAAATCAGCTACATCTCGCCTGATACAACGACATAGCTCAACTCACGGAAAGCAGTCACACTTGTCAGTTCACTCGGCTTTGCAACAGCGGTGCAGCCAAACGCCAGGCATGGTGCAATCTTCCAGGTTAGGAGATATAGAGGCATATTCCAAGGACTGATCAGTGCAAACACCCCCAGCGGACTCCGATGCTCATATGTCAAGACGCTATCATCGGTGAACCTCGCAGCGCTCTCTTCGTGTAAGATGTAGCCAGCGAAGTACCTGAAGTTTGAGATTGCACGATCAATCTCGACTTTGGCCCGAGCAAATGTTTTGCCTTGATCTATGCTCTCCCATGCAGCGAATGCATCTCTGCGTTCAGCGATTAGATCTGCGATCTTGTTCAAGATTCTTGAGCGTTCAGACTTGGGCGTTTTGGACCATGAAGGGAAGGCTTGGTGTGCGGCATTGACAGCTTGGTCGACCTCTTCTGGGTTGCTATTTGGCACTTGCAAGAAGACCTTCCCTGTTTGTGGATTGAAGCATTGAATCGTATCACTGTTCCCCGAGTTCTGAAAGTCTCTCGCAACGAAGTTTTGCAGAACCGGCGGGTCCCGAATGTGAGCTTCGTATATTGCCGTAGCACGTTCAAAGATATCGCTGCTTTCTTTTGGAATGCGCATGCTATCAAGCATGGCTTCAGTCTGGGCGTTGGCTGGCATCGCGATGTGAAGTTGATAGGCAGCTCGTTGGCCTGGTTCAATGGAACGCTAGAACCCGTCCTCTGTCTTGGAGATCTGGCTATCGCAATGCCTCATACGATGAGCACGACTTCCTGGTGCAAGCCCGGGTTCGTTGTCGCACTCTGGAATATGGTTTTGGTCCCGACGGTGATAGCGGAAGAAGCTTGCTTGCAAGAACCTTGCTTTCCCACATCCGAGGTGCACCTTCCGAGGGCACCAGAGTACGGATGCTGATGACCGGGGCACAGCAGAATCTTTGGAGCACTCCAGAGGGTTCCTAGACCGCCTCTTTGGGAATAATACGCTGCCACTTTGGATCCTGATCAAGCCCCAAGAAGCGCAGCGCGTTCAAAGCCAATATCGCCGTCCTCTGACTTGGATTCAGGGACCGATCGAGCTTCTGATCCGAAGCCAACATTCTGCCTGCCTCAGGAACTTCGCCGAGGGGAAAAGGATAGTCACTGCCCATCACAATCCTATCAGATCCAGTCTTCTTCACAAGGTAATCAAGCAAATCGGGATCGTGTACAAGGCTGTCCACCCAAATGTTGCTTCTTTCGCAAAGATGTTCTGTCGGAGTCACTCCTTGTGCATCGACAGCAACGAGATCCGGCCTGCAGTCGTATCCATGTTGAATCCGTCCTATCAGAGTAGGCCAGGCACCTCCAGCATGTGCGAAACACATTCTCAATTTCGGATATTTGACAAAAGTCCCCGCGCATGTCAAAGCGTGTAGCGATAAGGCCGTCTCGCATGGCATCCCGACGAGCCAGCTACTCCAGTACCGAGCCCAACGCTGCTTGTTCTCTTTGGGCAGAGAGTATCCGAGAGGATGAACAAACAACGGCATGTCTAGATCTTCGCAAGCCTTCCACAGTGGCTCGAACACTGGATTGTCGAGGAACAGTCCATTGACTTCGGTCCCGATCTCAATGCCAACAAGTCCAAGTTCGTGCTTACAGCGATGCAGTTCCTTGATGGAGGCTGGTATGTCCTGCGCAGGTAATGTGCCCAGTCCGAGAAACTTGTCCGGATACTGCCGGCAGATGCCAGCCAGATCATCGTTCAAGAACTGAGCGAACTTGACTGCTGCCTCCACAGGCTTATCGTAACAGAAAAGCACAGGAACCGTGCTCAGGACTTGGACATTGACACCGACTTTCGCCATTTCCTCGAGCCTAGTTTGTGGATCGAAACAGTTGGGTTCGACCGTTCGGAAGAACGTATCGCCTACGTACATGTCGACCTTTCGATTATCTTTAGGATTCCGCTTCAATTGTGGCCATTCTCGATCCCCACTCTGAGCCGAAAGTGATTCGAGATTCGGTAAAACGGCTGGCATGATGTGTGTATGCATGTCGATCCTAAATGGCAGCTGCTCATTGCGTTGCATCGTGCAACATTGATTCGTTTCGCTCGCCATTTTGCTTCTGGTTGCGTGTGGTACAGAGTTGAAACGATGTGTTGACTCTGTGCTCCCAGAGAGAGCCCTTTCACCCTAGTTGCTAACAATTCCCCTTGTCTCAGCACTCGGAAGAATCAAGGAAACTTTCCGATTTCGAAACTGGACTTGCGCTGCACACAATATTTGTCGTTGGCCTGACTTCTAGCGTCGAACTGTTGGAAGTACGTGTCGTTCCTGTGCAATTGTGGCGATCGATTTCCAGTTGTGCAAATGTTATGGTGAAAACGAGAGATGTTGTTGCTCGGGCCGTGCACCACGCTCCAACCAGCATCTGCAGCTTGGTCCGTCTCTGGGCTTTGTATCTCAGTCGGACCACTTCCGTCACTGCAGCGAGGTGGGCAACCGATTACGCGTGTCGGACAGCATATTATGTGAGAGATGTTACGAAGCGGGTCACCGCGTAAGGCGCGCAATCCACGCAATCATAAATCAGCAATCGCTACCAACCGCAAACCGCACCAAATACCAAACCTTTGCTCAGCCAATACTATAGAGCGGGAGCACCAGCCCCATAGCAAGGCCAGCTGTACTGAAACACCGCGTAATAGGCGTTCTGCAGGTCCAACAGACAGGCAAAATGGGTTCCATCGCCGCGATTCCAGATCCAACGCCATTCCACCACTGGCTGAAGCAGAATAGTAGTCTCTTGCAACCACCAGTGAACAACTTCTGCCTACATGCTGGCAATGACATGATCCTCATGGTCGTAGGGGGACCGAACGCCCGGAATGATTTCCACGTCAACGAGACCGAGGTACGTATCGTCCAGGTTGGATCCAGTCTGCGACGAATACTGACTGGTCCAGGAATGGTTTTACCAGATCAAAGGCAGCATGCTGCTCCGCATAGTCGAGAACGACGAGTTTCGAGACCTCCATATCCACGAGGGTGACACCTTCTTACTTCCTGGAAACACACCACACTCGCCGATCCGATTCGCCGACACTGTAGGAATGGTGATGGAGCGGTCACGACCCAAAGACAGCGTCGATCGATTGCGATGGTATTGCTCGAAAGGCGGACACAAGCGGCCCACTCTGATCAGAGAGGAGGTCTTCCATTGCACAGATCTTGGCACGCAACTGAAGCCTCTAATTGAGCGATGGCAGCAGGATGAGGAGGGCCGAAGGTGTCTAGAATGCGGCGAGATCGAAGATGCCCAGTTGATACTGAACAATTGATGATACCTGATGATGACATGCAAGTTACTTTCACATACAGTCAGGAAAAACTCACTTACCGCAGAAGCTTCCAGCACATTTGGCGTAGCTGCTCAGTGCCGTTGGTGCGCGTCTCGATCTGACAAGCTCTGTTCCGAGGACCGTGAGGAGACGATGGGTTCGGAGGCTCTAGAGGCAGCAAGATGATAATCGCCTTTGCTCCGACAAAGAGGATCGAGATCATGTGATGCGTGACTCCTCAGAGAAATGCTTGCAAGAGGCATGGTAGCTCAGCACTTTGCACCATAATCCTTGTCAAAGATTGCCTCTTTCGGCGCCGAGCTAGCTTTCGATGAACACCTCCGCTTTGGCAGCCGCATGGGTGTAAGAGGCAGCCGCATGTATACAGATAGGACGCAAGCCACTTCGGTCGTCAGATGCTGATTCTGAGCTTCTGTAGCATATCCTCTACAACTCGCAGCAAAAATGGTGAACAAACAAGCTCAGGATGCGGTGCAGCACGCATTGGACGCCGTTACCGGTGATCCAATGACTGGAATCGCTGGCATCGTTTTCGTTGCGATCGATAAGAATGGCAACCAGATCGCCGCAGTGCCATCGGGCAAGAAGGGCGTTGCGCACAAAGACCCGATGACCCTGGACACGGTCGGTAGATTGAGCTGTGTTATCAAGTCGTATGCTCACAGAGCACGCAGGTCTTCTGGATCGCCTCGTGCACGAAGATGATTGCCACAATTGCCTGCATGCAGGCGGTTGAGCGAGAGCAGCTCCGCCTTGATGACGCCAAGCAGGTTCACTACTTGTGTCCGGAGCTGAACAATAAGAAAGTGCTCCAGGATGATGGCACTCTTGTCGACAGAAAGAATGATATTACTCTCCGAATGCTGTTGACTCACACGTCTGGATTCGGATACGAATTGTGAGTACAAGTTCTGAACTCTGGAAGATTTGCCATGCTAACAGAAGCAGCTTCAACGAAAAGCTGAAAGAGCATGGTCGGCCAGTCGGATACGATGTATTCCACGCTGATGTGAGTCTTCGAAGAGCAAGCTCGTGTGTACGCTTCTGACACGGGATTCTGCAGATTCGAGATGTCCTTCGAATGCCACTAGTCCATCAACCAGGTGAAGCATGGGAGTACGGAACAGGAATCGACTGGGCTGGCATAGTGCTCGAGCGAGCGACTGGCGTCCGGCTGAATGACTGGATCCAGGAGAATATCATGGCTCCGCTGGACCTTCATTCAGTCAACATGTTCCCAACAGCAGACATGAAGAAGAATCTTGCCTTCATGCACCAGAAATGGCCAGGTAGTCCAGAGAAGGTTGAGGAGCGAGACCACATCTACCGAGAGCCAATTATTGCAGAGACTGCCGAGGAAAGAGCCAAGCTGTTCCATAGTGGAGGTGCTGGCCTCTACGCGAAACCCGCCGAGTACGTGCAAGTACTCGCGGCACTGCTGAATGACGGTGTGAGCCCCAAGACTGGACAACGTATCTTGCAGAAGAGCACGATCGATGAGATGTACGTCTTTGTTCCTTTGCCACAAACGGTAGTAATGCTGACCAGAAGTGCCAGGTGGAAGAACCAAATACCACAATGGCCAGATTTTGCCAGACAGGGCATTCCTGATGCGAAGAAGGAACAGACCAACCCTATCCCACAGCTGTATCCGCAAGATGGCAACCCTCCTCAGGGCTGGGGTCTTTCCATGATGTTGACACAAGAGCCTGGTGCAACAGGACGAGGTCGCAACACAGGATGGTGGGCCGGCATCGCCAATCTCTTCTGGTGGTGTGACCGGGAGAAGGGCGTGGCCGGCATGATTGCGTCTCAATGCATGCCTTTCTGCGATCCTAATGTCTTGGGTGCTTGGGTCAATTGCGAGGCCGCGGTATATGCTTCGGTATGATCGCTTTCCTCCGCGCGGGACTCGCTGAAAATCGCTGGATAATGGCTGAGAATATATGCTGTCGCAGGAACCTCAGCGGCAGGACTCGGCTGCGAACATTGAGATGAAAGAGTCGACACAGCCCGAGAAGGCAGCTGAAGAGCCGGTGAATCGTAGGAGAAAGAGTCTTGCTGGGCTGGCGCGTCTAGGCAAGAAGCTGATTGGAAAGTCCGATAGTCAGTAGTGCAATTTTTATATCATTGTTTTCATCGTGACATTCTGCGCGTATTGTTCGATGTCTGCGTTGATACATGTCTTGCCTGCGGATGCGTGAGATTGGAGTGGCAGTCGCATAAGGTGGGAAGCTTGAACTCATTCGCGACGTCTTGCTTAGTCATCAGCCGAATGTCCACGGCATGTCTGTTTTCCTGTCTGCTTCCCAAATCTAGCATCATGTTCGCATATGAGATGTTCGCATCGTTGGCTCAGAGGCTGCTCTGGCCTTTGCGAGAGCCGAAAGGTCCACTGATCATTCCTGAAGCCAGAAGTGATTGCGAGCCGACACTGACAGAAACTGTTTCCAGCCTCGTGAGCTCTGACAGCAGAAATTGGAATCGATGGCCACTATTCTGGAGAGTGAGGCTTGCTGGCCGCCTTCATGAAGAAGCTGAAAGTATACAGGGTTACACATTGTGCTGCCCGCCAGATTTACAGCCTACAATTTTGACTTGCCGGACTCTGATGGGGCTTTGACCTCGACTAGGAGTTTGCCAGTATTCACGCCCTCGTACAGCGCTCTCAAAGCTTCCGGCATCTTCTCGATACCACCTTTGATGATGGTCTCCTGCCTCTTAATCTTCCCTTCCGCGACCCACTGCGCCAACTCCCTCTTCGCCTGAGGGTACTGCTTCTCATAATCAAAGACCACGAATCCCTCCATCCTGATCCTCATGCTGACGATCATCAGGTAGTTCTTCGGGCCTTGGGGGTTCTTCGTGTTGTATTGTGAGATGCCGCCACACATCACAAAACGAGAGTGCTCTTTTGCCCTTGAAAGTGCCAAGTCCAGTACCTCACCGCCGACATTGTCGAAGTAGACATCGATAAGCTGCTTCGTTGACGCGCGGAACTTCTTGGCAAAGTCCTTGTCTTTGTAATTCAAGGCTTCATCAAACCCAAGTTCTTCCACAAGCCACTTGCACTTCGAATCCGAGCCGGCAATGCCAAGGACTTTCGCACCCTTAAGTTTGGCGATTTGGCCCACGACGCTACCTGTTGCGCCGGCAGCTCCAGAAACAACGACGAAATCTCCAGCCTTCACTTTTCCAACATCGATGATGCCGAAGTAAGCTGTCAAGCCTGGCATGCCCAAAGTTGCTAACGTGTCGGTCATTCTACCATTCGTAGGCAGATCCAGCTTCTCGACTTCTTTCTCGCGCAGGACCGCCAGTTCAGTCCACCCGGATCCAGCGTAGACGACTTCTCCAACACTGAATTTGGACGATTTACTTGCGACAACAGTTCCAACACCCACACCACGCATTACTGCATCAATCTTGACAGGTGGTATATAGCTGCGAGTTGGCGCCAGCCATCCACGCACGGTTGAAGCTGTCAGTGAGAGGGACAATAATGTTTGACGCGAGGCTTTGCAGAATGAAGTCGTTCTTGCGGCTACACTTACTGGCTGGGTCGAGGGAAAGATAATTAGGCTGGAAAAGCACTTGTCCATCTTTCAGCGACGATGCTGAAGGCGTTTGATGTTGCTTGACTGTAAATGTGTCCGCTTCAATGTGGTCTTTAGGTCTGTTGGCCAGATGAACGGCTTTGTATGTCGACGGCAGGGACGCCATATTCGCTTCTTGTATTTAGAACTTCGTTTTCTGTGTTTGATATAGTATCGACACTGTTGGACGGAAAATTCAGAGACTTGAAGTTGATGGGTAGTAGAAAGAATTGACAATCGAAGAGGTAGTGTTGTGCAGCTGAGTGCAGACCCCGGTAATTCAAGGGCTTTGACCTCGGTTCGGCCACCATTCCTAATCAAGCTGCGCTCCGCTAAGCAGGCGTCCATCAATTTTGCTGTACAGCATCTTACGGACGAGAGCTCAACACGATAATGCGTTGCTACTCGACATTTTCACGGCAGTCACAAAGGCGTCGCAATTTTGACTTGAACATCAAGGGCCACTAGTACTCTACCATGGGCGCACGAACAGGCACGATCCGCCTAGGTGATGCCGCGACCTGTTGTATGGCCTTCGAAGCATTGAAGCAGCAAGCACAATCGCTGACAAGATCCAGTTGACATTTGCATGTCCTGGATCACAGTGAACGTGTGTTTCACTGGAGCTGACAAACGACATATGCCTCTGCCGCTTGTTAGCCGACCTTCAAGGAACGAACCCTATGGTCACATACCTGGCTCTTTTCGATTTGGCAATGACAGAAACTAGGGTCAGCAGTGCGTATTGTGTCTGGGGACATCGAGCGCTCTTCCGATCCTCCTGTCTCTGGCTTGTGTAGAATAGCTGAGGCACTCTACCTCGAAAAGCGAGCCAGGCGTGGCGGCAAGGTCGTGACAAGAGAGCACAAAGTCTGGCCGTCTTCGATTCTCCATTCTGCTGTCAGTAGGTATGCTCATCTGGTTCTAGCACTGGCAGAAGCCGGTGAGCAATGGAATGATGGCAAGACGCATGCAAGACTTCTCACTGCACCGAATATCGTCGTCCTCAAATCCTGCTCACGGTGTTGCGAATTGTGCACTGTGACCGCCAAATGCCATTGTGTACATAAAATCCGACCATGTAGCTCTAGACTTAGGCTTCATTTGGCAGCACATCTTCCTTCGGATCGTAGCGCTGAGCACGTGTGGGTAGGTGTGAGCAGTTGCTTGTTCCATCGAGCAGCTGTGCTCTTTTCGTCATTTCTCTAGTCATCAATAATCTATCATCGTCAGCGTCACTATCGTAAACATGGCTCATCATCACAATCGATAACATAGGGATCCAGCTGTGCACTTTCAATACACACTTTCCCGCGCACTCCTCTCTTCCCTCTCGGCTTGATCAACATCTCCACTTCCCTCGGTATCTTCTGCAGCCTCGTCTCCCAGCGGATCAGCCCTTCTATGAGCATTCATGCCGCTTTCCTTGGCCCATCTCTCAATATCATCTGGTGTAGCTTTCCGTTGTGGACCTTTCCGGATTGCATCAGCAAGACTACCGCCGCGAGCAGAAGTCTCGAAATAGCCAGTCGATCCTTCAGCCTCACTGCTTTCGTGCGGAGTGTTTACTCCTGACAATCCTCCTCCGTCTCGACCCGGTTGTAGATACTCGGGGATCGTGGATTTCGATGATGGCATATCGATCTGTGGCGCTTTCGATCGCGAAGAAGCGGTCTTTACCGTCTCAGTCCCAGGCTCAACATGAGCCATGGGGGTATCTTCTGTCTCGGCCTTGGGTGCTTCGAGTGGTGAGGGCAGAGTCAGCTCTTGCGTCTGCTTTCTTTGTTGGTGCTGGCCAGCTCTCCTTGGGAATTTCTCGTTCTGGTGATTGCAACCATCCTTACAGCCACCCCATTTCCGTGGCGGGATGCTCGGGCTGTCTTGTTTTTGTTTCAAGAAATGAGACAAAGTATTTCTTCTCTGTGGGTCGGCCTTCGCCTCTGCCTCTCGTTTCTGCCTCTTAAGCTCCGACCATGTCCGCATCTTGTTCTCGAGCACGTACTTGCCCCTCTCATCTTTGTGCATGGTGATAAATTCGCAGTGATTGATGTTCCGTAGATCTTCAAAGTACTCGACACTCCAGTGGTACCACTTCATCAGGAAGACTCTCGTCATGAGGCCATGCGTGACGAGCACGCATACGCTTGGGAACTCGTCTTCGCTGAATTGCCTCCACAGACTTTCGTTGAAGCCTGAGATCCTGTCGTATGCATCGGCTGCGCTCTCACCATCGGGTATCCGGTAAAAGAAGTGGCCATAGTCAGCACGCTCCTGCCACATTCTCTCCATCTCGGCCGAGCATGGTTGGAAATTTCCGAAATCTTGCTCTCTAATACGTGGCTCCTCATACACCTTGATTTTGTTTCTGCTGAAGGGCGAGGGGGCCGCTGTCGGGTCGTCGGGGTCATCTCTTGCGGTCAGCGTCTTGAGAATCCCTTCTGTCGTTTCTCTCGTTCTACGATAGGGCGAAGTGTAGATCTGGAGTGTGTCATCGGGTTTCAGGAGGGCTCGTAGGCGGCGGCCAGCTTCTTCTGCCTATGTGGTTAGTCAGGCATGTATCTTTACAAGTACGATTACAGCATAGGCATGTCATACCTGTTTGTGGCCTTCTTCAGTGAGCTTGACGCGGTGATCCGGGATCATCTGATGGATCTCGCGGTTCTTATTGCCCTCGGACTGTGCATGGCGGATGAGGATGATCAGGCGTGGTTTGACCATTTCTGTTGTACTGTTGTAATGTCTAGACTCCCTGGGTTCCTGTAGGAGGTAAAGGGATGTCACTCGGCTTACAGCACGCGCTGTTGAGTCGAGTCGCCTTGCATCATCTGCTGCAGGACCTACCGGACTTATCTTCGGTATACTATAGCCTCTCTTGAGTCATAAGAACATTACATCTGCAACTTCTTGCCGCAAGCCTGGCGACTTCAAACCATTCACAATCAACATCGCATACTTCGTCGGCTACTGTAGGCGATAGCGCTGAGCTACGCGACTGCATAGCAGTGCTTCTTACCCGCGCGCGACACTCCAACGTGTTGATAGAATCTCGAGAAGACAGTCGCCAACCATGTCCGAAAACATACCAGAGTCTATCCCCACCTCCATTTCTTCACGATCCAACCGGCCCACCAAGAAACGCGCTGTTGGTCCCGCATCCGTACAATCTCAACAAGTGGAAGCGCTCTTCGCAAACCCCGATCGCGAAATCAACATCCCGAACAGCAGCTCCTCAAAACCCAAAACCCTCGCTGCCCCACCAGAAATCGTCGCAAACGTCCAAGGTTCCTCTGCGGGAGCCGGATCAGGCGAGTTTCACGTCTACAAAGCGAGTCGGAGGAGGGAATATGAGCGGCAGAGACTGATGGACGAGGAGACAAAAGAGGAAGAGGCAGAGAGGGTGTTCAGAGAGCGAAAAGAACAGAGGGAGAAAGAGGATAGAGAAAGGTTGGAGAAGAATCGGGCGAAGAGAGAGAAGGCTAAAGCACGAAAAGGGAAGAAAGGTGGGAAAGCAGGTGGGGATGATGGGGACGCGGGAGAGAAGAAGCGATTAGGTCCTGCGAAGATTGGGGCGAGAGATCGCAGTGGGACTGAAGAGAATGGGACGGAGGACGGTGATGGGCAGAAGCCTGGAGAGAATGGCCAGGAAGAGACCGGGATTGTTGTTCATGACGACGATTGAGGGGACATGGCTCAAACCGTTGGAAGGACGGCTATCTGGTTGTCAAGAAATGCTACAACGAAGCCTCAGTCGACACGGGGTAACGCAAAGCCGTGATGAAGACATGATTTACGCGATCGGAGAGGACAGTCTATTCCCTAGGAGTCCGAATAGAACGCACTAATAGGCACTTCCCTCAGAACCATCCCCATCATCCTCGTCGTATTCGGCCTCACCATCCACAAGCGGCACGACACGAAAATCGACAAAAGCCGCTCCGTCCCCATCGCCTACTCCCACTTCAACAAGAAATTGCAAGCTCAGCACGGATTCTTCGTCCAATCGCACAGAAACTTTCGAGGCCGCTTGCATTGCTCGCTGGGCCGCTTTGATGCAGCTGAACTTAAAACTTGCAGAGGTCTTCGCAGGACATTGGAAAGTCTCGAGAATCGGAGTCTCGGATAACGTATCTGTGGCGAAGTCTACGGTGGAGGATCCAAGGGGTCCTGCAAGTCATTGTTAGCCAGTGTAAGAGATGCGGCAGTGAGGGATTGTAAGCACCTGATGCACTGAGCGAAATATTTGCCGTGCGAGAATCCGGGTTCGCTTGAATCGTCAAGTGTTGAGGCCCCATGTTATTGAGTTCTGAAAGAGCATCAAGTAGGAAGGTCGACCGCATGATGGTCTTGAGCGCCAGATGCTCGCGTTGAAATGGTATCTCCTCAGAAACTTCTGCTTCGTACGTTGTGAGATCGCATGTCGTTGTCACTCCTGCTTCCGACATGTGAACACTCAGAGGGCTGCCCTCGCCATCGTATGTGAACGTGCATATGCCAGCAACGTGCAGTGGGTTGTTGAAAGCATTTTGATTGGCATGTCGGTTCAATCGGTGTGCCGCGAAGGCCGAGTATTCATCTGAGCGCTTTGCAGTGCTCTGGTCTGACACACTGAAAATGTTGAGAGTCTCCAGAAGAGCGACGAGATTGACTTCGAATATTGGATGCTCAGGTGGGTCGTCCTGCGACGAGGGTGGTGCATCGGGGATGTTGTATTTGTAGGAGGTGAAGAGATTCTTCTCGAGGTGAATGAAAGCTTCCATGACACTACCTTCTTCTGTGCTGAAGCGAAGCCCTTCGGGGGTAATGCGCACAGTGGCCGTCTTCGAGAATGAAATGCAGCGAAGCAGGAGTAAGATCTGCCGCGCAGAAGATGATACTGCGGAAAAGAGAGGTGGACGGGAGGCCATTGTTGAAGACTGTTTGAACTTTCTTGTTCGCTTGGGTATCTTATTTCTATGCTCGAAGGCTCAAATCCTCGCTTCGGATGTGAGGTATGCCCGAAGAAACGTGGAAAGCTTCAAAGTCGCGATCGACACCGCGAAGAAAGCCGTCAATCCGCAGCTGAGAATGAAAAGGGTGGAAGTCACTGGATGAAACCTCCGCTTGTCTAGAGCAAGGTCAGCATGTCTCTTACTGCTGTGCACGAGAGATTTGGTCACTGACAATCCGGCTTCGTGGCTGCAAGAGGTGTGGGACCGATGTCCAGATCTTCCGAGGCACTTTGCGTACGTCTCTTGCCCAGATGCAGCTTGAACTGCTTCACTCTACGATCGCGGCGCAATGGCTGGTCGTGCGGAGAGTGCGATCTATACATACACGCCGACTGCGCAGATCATGTAGACGGAGCCAAAGGCAAAAGCGAGGGATGCGGGTACGGCGAGGATAGGCAGGTTCTTAACGGACAGGTCTATATATTGTCAGCAAAGAGCCGCATAGCCCGCGCAAAGTGTATACGTACTAAGTCCAAAGAGAGCAGTCAGGACAAAACCGATGCTGAGCAGGACGAATCCGACGAGGAATTGAGCGTCTTTGCCGACGTTGGGGACGAACTGGCTGTTCGCCGAAGCCTCCCAGAGCGCGTGAAGTGATTGTTCCGACATTGATCGCTCTCTGAATGCGTGCGATGTGCAGTGCAGCGGTGATGCGTGAGGGGGATGCGCGGCAGTGAACAAGTGGACGTTGCCCAGAGCTTCACATGGCCGCTGACAGGGATCGGAAGTGCCTCCGCCGCGAAATCTGGAGCTCTGCTCAGAATTTCGTGACCTCAGACTTCCTCACTTCAGCTACCTCTTTCTCTTCTCGCATCACATCTTGGTTGGACTGCATTGATACAGAACATCAATTCAGTCGCAATCATGTCTCGCAACAAGAGAGGCGGCGGAAGAGGCCGGGGTCGTGGCGGCGGTGGACGAGGTGGAGGTGGTTCTCGTCAGAACCAGTTCCAAGACAACCGCGTCTCTTTCGACAAGGTCGACAAAACCAACGAGAAGTTTGAGCGCTTCTACAACTCCATTCCCATTGTTCCAGAGGGTCCCGAACGGGATGCGTTCTGGAGGCATTTGCGCAAAGAGTTGCCCAACTCATGGCGCTTCACTGGTTCCAAAGGCCACGCGCTGGGAGTTCGACACAACTTGGTCAACCGCTTCTTCCCGGTTTTGAAAGGCATCAAACACGAAGGACGACCCGTCGAGCTGCCTCAGCCCATCGCATGGTATCCCAATGGCTTGGCATACTCCATGACGACCCCGAAGAACGTTGTGAGAAAGTACGAGCCTTTCAAGGATTTCCAGAAATTTTTGGTCAGCGAGACCGGAGTTGGCAACATCAGTAGGCAGGAGGAGGTGAGCATGATACCGCCGCTACTGTTGGATGTGCAGCCCCACCACACTGTGTTGGATCTGTGCGCTGCCCCGGGAAGTAAGAGCGCGCAGTTGGTCGAGCTCTTGCATGCAGGAGAGGAAGACAGAGTCGCCAAAGCGCTTGAAAGCGTCAAGAGCAGCGATGCAGGGGGCGTAGATATCGGAGAGGATCACGGCCGCTCCACAGGTATCCTGGTCGCCAACGATGTCAACTATCAACGCGCGCAGATGTTGGTGCACCAAGTGAAGCGCCTGAACTCGCCCAATCTGATCGTCACGAACCACGATGCGACCATGTACCCCTCGATCGCATTACCCTCGCAGACAGATGGCGCAGGAAACAAGGCAGGAAAGTGGCTCAAATTTGACCGCATCCTCGCCGATGTTCCTTGCAGTGGCGATGGAACTTGCAGAAAGAATCCGAACATTTGGAAAGATTGGACACCGCAGAATGGCCTGGGGCTGTATGTCACGCAAGTTAGGATCTTGACGAGAGCATTACAAATGTTGAAGGTTGGAGGCAGAGTCGTCTACAGTACCTGCAGCTTGAATCCGGTGGAGAATGAGGCCGTTATCGCGTCTGCTATTGAGAGATGCGGCGGATCTGCCAAGATCAAGCTCGTCGATTCCTCTGACAGGCTGCCAGACCTCAAGCGAACTCCCGGACTCAAGGATTGGAGTATCATGAACCGCAGTGGTACGATCTATGAATCATGGGCCGAAGCTGCAGGCCTGGAGCAAGAGGGCAGTAGGATTGTCCCCGGAATGTTTCCTCCGGAACCAGAAGAGAATATTCCGCTTGAGAACTGTTGGCGTGTATACCCTCATCAGCAGAATACTGGAGGATTTTTCATTGCTGCTCTCGAGAAACTGAGTGAGATTCGTGCTAAGCCGGAAGATGAGAGCAAGTGTCAGAACAAGAACTGGACCTTCGTCAAGGACACTGTGCCCGAGAAGACTGCATTCACCGAGACACTTGCAGAGATCGAGAACGGTCATCTTGACGAGCCGAAACGTGTGGATGATGTGCCTACAGTCACGGCCGCTCCTTTGCAGAACAGCTCAGCCGGCGAGACCTCAACGGTGGCGGGCGCTAAGAGGTCTGCTCCGGAAGACGAAGCACCTACATCTCCTTCGAAGAAACAACGGACGAACGAAGCGGCGGCCGCGCCAGATGTTGCCATGACTGAGGCTGGTCAAGAGGCCGGCGTGAGCACGGAAGTGAAGGATGCTGTCAAGGAAGCTCCTTTTGAGAAAACAATACCCTCTGACGCTGTTCAACAGGCGAAGCGCAGAAACAACGACGCCAACGAGGAGGCATTCAAATACCTTGACGCCGAGCATCCGGAACTGGTGGGAATCTACAACTTCTACGAGCTGCATTCAGCTTTCCCAAGAGACCGCTTCTTGGTCCGCAATCCTGCTGGAGATCCCGTGAAGGGCATTTATTACACAGCAAAGCTGATCAAGGACATACTCATCTCCAACGAAAATCGTGGCATGAAATTCGTGCATGCTGGTGTGAAGATGTTCATGAAACAAGATGCTCAAGGGCAAGACATCTGTCGTTGGAGAATTCAAACAGAAGGACTTCCCATCATCGAGGGCTGGGTGGGCGAAAGTCGTGTCGTCAGGTTGCAGAAGCGCAGCACACTCAGGAAGCTTCTGGTAGAGATGTTCCCAAAGGTGGCGACCGACAAGAATGAGGATGGCACCGAGACTGGAGGCTGGAAAGACTTGGGAGAAATCGGCGCAGCAGTCAATGCACTTGGAGGTGGATGTTGTGTGCTGAGGGTCGAAGCCACGCCCAATCCTGGTCCAGACGAGTTCAGTGACAACTTGACCCTACCGTTGTGGAGGAGTAAAGCCAGCGTCAATCTCATGTTGCCTAAGGAAGACCGGAGAGCGATGCTGCTACGCATTTACAACGAGGACGTCGAGCTTATCAACCATTCCGACCCGAAACAGAATGGCGGCAAAGACGCCAAGCGCGAACCGAAGCCTGAATCCAAGGGCAGCATTCCAGCTCAGGATGTAGCAGAAGAGACCAAAGCACGCATGAAGAATGAGGACGTAGACGAAGAAAAGATCGGAGGTGTACCTGTCGATCAAGCTTCGGCTGTGCCGCTTACAGATGCTGGTATCACTGCACTAGAGCAAGACCTGGAAACTGCAAGGGACCACATCGAGGCGAAGAGATTGGAGGTCTTGGAAGATGAAGATAGGAAAATCGCGGAAGCGATGCCAGAGCGAGCGGACGACCTAGACGGCGACGACTACAACAAGACCGTCTGAGTCTGCTGCGGCTCGACTGATTATCTTTTGGACAGTCTCACGAAATAACGACTCGGCAAGACCTGAGCAGGTGTGGGTTGAGATAGATACTTGGCTTGTATATTTTGTATCGGCACGGCTGTGTTGCAGGTGAAGCCCATGCCACACATCTGACCCCTGCAATTCTTATGCTTGACATGTCTCTGCGAACGAGATTGTGCATGACGATTCTGTCAATCTCCTTCTCTCAAAGCACGTTCGGCAGCAAAGGCGAGAGCGATGACCCCACTTCCACGTGCGCGATTGACAGAACTCTAAACTCACCGATCCCCGTCAAATGGCGGGCGCAGACGGCCAAGCAACCGTAGCAGATAACGTCGCCTTCTTGCTTTCAACATCTTCCCAAGCACAAGTGATGAGTGTCTACAGAGAAGCCAAGCCTTGTGCAGGTCCTCGAGCCCCGAATCTAGCCCTCACGACGGCATCACAGCAGGTCGTGCCGCGCGACCGCGCCTCATTCTCTCCACTCCCCTCACGTTCGGCACCGGTCGCGTGCGCGCGCTAAACTTGATTTGTCTCCTAGCCTGTGCTCTGAACCCTGCTTTGCCGGGTCGGCTTAAATCCTGCTGTTGTTGCTGCACGACGAAGAATGGCAATGCAGCACGAGTAGGACACAGATACGGACTCTCAGAGGAATCGCACACCGGCGCTGTAGTAAGACACGAGCACGCCCAGCAGGCAAGCACCGGTGAACGAAGATACTCCAAGATTACGGCCGACAACAACAACGAGGCGGTCGCAATCAATTGTCCCGCCATTCGACAAAGAACTAGAGAAACTAACTTAGTGCGATTTCGCTTGCGCTGCTGCCACGCGCGCATGCGCAACCTGGGGCGAAACGAGCAGCCGGAGCCTCGAGCCCACAGGCAGGGCTTTTGCTTATCTTCTCGTCGTCGTCGTACGTCTGTCGGTCAGCCTGCTCGGCGTTGCTGGAGTTTTGCCTTGAAGGATTCAATGCACATCTGCACGTAGTAGCACACCACCACCGCATCCTCCTCGATACGCCGCCACATCACACACATCGAGGCGCGGCGCGGCGCTTCGATTGTGCTTCTCGCCTCTCCTCCTCTTCACTTTCATTATTGACCCTCACATCTCTCTTCCTCTTTATTCTGTCAGCGGCACTATTCGTCAGAATCCAATCTCGCTGGCACGCCTCGTCCGACTGTCGTGGTACTCTTCTTCGCTCCTTCAATCCGAGGACCCCCGCCGGTTACCGTCCTGTGTGTGGTCCCGCGCAAGCAGAATCCTACTGGAGCTTGTTATCGCAACCTTGCGATGATGCGCGGCCGAGCGCCGGCGAGTTCGAGGTCGTCGCCCTCGAATTCGGAATCGAGGTAACAACAGCTCCAAACATCTTCTGCTCTATTACGAGAGCTACACCTCCCACGGCGCCCGCTCGCCCCGGACGAGGGCTGAGCACGTCATCACTGGCCTGGTCATGTTTCTGGAGTCGCGAGCCCTGTGGACCACGGCGCCCCCGGAGCCCAGATCGCGAGCTGGTAACTGGCCGACAGTGTTGTTCTCATGGTAAGCCTTCCCCATGCAGCACTCCGAGGAACCTTCTTGCCTCACTTGTGCAATTTATGTCATTCGTGCTAACATGGTTGTCTTGATCACAGGTGGTGTACGTGCTTTGCGGCCGTGATCATTATCACGAGAGTTTTGGGCCGCAAAGTTAGAAGCAGCAAACTCTTTCGGGAAGACTGGATCATGCTGGCTGCGATTGTCCCACTATTTATCCGCATGATCCTGATACACTTTGTCTTAATCTACGGCACGAACAATGTCGATACCGTGGAATACGAATACTCGGCGCGACAATTGTACCTTCGAAGCATTGGGTCCAGACTAGTTCTACCCGCTCGGATCTTCTACGCGGGCTTCATCTGGATGTCCAAGTATACCGTTTCGGAGTTCCTGAAGCGCATCACGGGGCGCATCTGGCGAAAGCGATACGAGTGGACATTGCAAGGCATTCGCATTTTCCTCGTGCTGACCTTCGGTGCGGTCGTCATTGCCACTCTGACCGAGTGCATGCCATTCAATCATTTCTGGCAAGTGGAACCAGACCCCGGGCCTCAATGTCGGCAAGGCTTCGTTCAATTGTTGGTCATGGGATGTTGTGACATCGTAACAGACATCCTCCTGGTGGCGTTTCCGATTCCAGTCGTCCTTTCTTCGGGTCAGAATTGGAAACGCAAGCTGCAGATGGTACTGCTGTTCGCACTATCCCTGATCATGATAGGCATCACGGCTACACGCATGCCGAAGGTAATCAGTCGCCATGGACGACAACAATATCGTACAGTCTGGGCCTCTGGCGAAATATTGGCTTCCGCATTCGTCTCGAATGGAGTCATTCTTGGCTCTTTTCTGCGTGACAAGGGCGAGAAGAAGAACAAATTCAGAAAGTATAGCGTAACGGAGAGTTTGGAAAGGTCAAACGCACGAAAGCCAACACTGTCGCGCATTCGAACTCAAGACAGTGACGAAGACCTGTTCCTCGCGATTGGGTGCAGACCACCGGAACATTTGAGATCGGGACAAGGCAGCTCAACTCGGCCTGCACCTCCTGCCCTCCCGGCGCATAAAACTCACCTGACTTTTCAGCCGCGTGCTGATACACCACTGGGAGACATCATCGACGGAGACGAAAGTGATTTCGAGCCATACGAGGACGTATCGCCCACAACTCCGAGAGCTCCGAGAATACCGCAGGTTCTACCATCTCCGTCGAATTCGACCACTGCAGGGTTTCATGATGTCGGGAACTTGCTTGATAATGGACGGACGTCAGATTCGCTGCCGCGGTCTCGAAAGGCGAGCAACACCAGCTCAGCCGGGCCGGGCATCAATGCTTACGATTTTGCGCATGGCCGTTCGCCATCACACAACAGGTCAGGATCAGCCTTCCTGAGAAATGTCGGTGGCCGATTTCTTGTCCCGGATTTCGTCCGTGATCGAGGAGAAAGTAGCTCCGCAGCTGAGCAGCAGCGGAATGCACATCGAATACGGCCTACTACTGCTCCCATCGGAGTCCTCGGGCCCATGCTCGAACGACAGGAAAGCAACGTATCGTTGCAAGACGCTGGAGGACTGTTAATGTCCAGTCCTTTCAGCAACCATCAAGGTCGTGCCCAGCCAAGATCCGATTTCCCTGGCCGAGACAGCAATCCAGCATCGTCTTCAGGCCAGCACGAGGAAATAGAGCTCGAAGATATCGGTGGCTTGTTATCGGATGATAGGATAGCGAGCGCGTCCGCCGCCCGGAGAGTTCTAGAGCGGCAAGACGTCTCAAATGAAGCGACGACTACAGGAACGAGTTCGGCACATCAACAGGACTTCGATGATCTGATCTTGCACGACCCAGGTGGCTTGATCAGGTAGCAAGTTGCATGATTGGGGTTGCGGTTGCATGGTGGTTGTGATTCTTTGAAGATACCCTATTTGTGCATATGGGAGAAGCAGCATATTATTCCATGCTTCGTCTAGCGTTCGAGCGTTCTTGTAGATGATCCGATGATGAAGACATCATATTATAGTGGAAATATGCATTGTATCCGACATGGTCACTTCTGATGTTATACAACACCAGCACGAATCCTATTCCATGTCTGCCTGATTGCTGCCTGAGAATCCATCTCGAAGACCTCGCTCTTATCTCCCGCGCGAAATCTCCTCTCTGCATCGCAAATCAAGAACGATGAGGTAACGTGAATGACCCTATCCCACAATTCCATGCCGCGCCAAACACGAAAGACCGAGGCCCAATTCTCTTTGCGCGCACCTCGACATGAACCCTGTGCCGCTTTTCAACTGCAATACCCATACCTTTTCTCACTGTCGGACCTGGCCGACGCTCGCTCATACCGTGTCTGAGGCCCTGGTTCTAGCGCGTGCGCAGTGTCCCCACGATTATTCGCCTTGCCTCTGCTTGGACGATTGGTCAGCCCTGTGAACCGGAATAACCTCTGTCTCTGTCCTGACCCCACCTGGTGCTCCCGTGACCGGATATCATGCCTTCTGGCTCTGGACTCGGGAGCAAGAAGAGGGAACGAGAGGATACTGTTTCCGAAGGGCCGCCGGATACGCCTGAACGGGATAGTGTCTCAGGCGCTGCTGGATCACCTTCAACAACAACGACGCCGGGGAATACCAGTGCGGGCGGAGGCAGTGGTGTTGGGTCGGGGAATTCAACAACGAACTTTCGAAATGTTTCGGCTTGTAATCGATGTCGAAATCGGAAGGTATGTTGCCAATTGATAGGTGCACTTGCGATTGTGCATAACTTCTCTTGCTTGATTCCGAGACAAGCCGCGATGTCTAGATCTGGAGAGTGCTTTCCTTCTCCAACATTCGGAAGGAGCAAACGATATCGATGACACAAGATCAAGAAAACTCGCTGACCTGGAATGTTAGAATCGATGCGATCAAAAGCTCCCGAAATGCACAAATTGTCTGAAGGCCAATGTAAGATGTGTTGGATTCGATCCTGTCAGCAAGCGCGAGATTCCTCGTAGCTATGTCTACTATCTTGAAACAAGAGTGAGAAATCTGGAGGCTCTGCTTGATTCTCACGGGATAGCGTACCCTCCTCCGAGTCAGGATTTTGCAATTAGCGAAACGATCAAGCCAGGCATCAATGTTCCTTTCCCAGTGCAAGAAGAAGCTTCGCCTCACTCGGCGCAACCAGCTGATGCGCCGCCGGTGCAATCAACTTTAGACCCTGTCCTACGTGAAGAAGAAGACGGCGAGAGGCTCGAGAAGCTGGTCAATGATGTTGGCATGGTGTCTGTTCAAGGGGCAGGTGATGCCCGCATGCTTGGCTCTACCACTTCCGGCATCTCATTTGCGAGGGTCGTCTTTGCTGCTGTGAAGAGGTCAGTGAATCAGACTCCCACGCCAAGCGAGAAAGGTGGTGGAAAAGCTCGCAAATTGTCAGCGAGTGAAGCTGCCGGCGGTGCAACGTCAATGCGAGACTCCTTTTTCGGACTACATACCAAGCCTACAATCAAGCCAGCTCCCTTCCCGGAAAGAGAACTTGGACTTCGGCTGACAGAGCTCTACTTTGAGCACGCCAATCCCCAAAATCCTGTTCTACACCGAGGGGAATTCATGACATTGTTCGACAGAGTGTATGCCACAGACGCGAAGAAGAGGACTCCAAGAGAACTGTACATGCTCAACATTGTGTTCGCCATTGGGTCAGGAATTATTGTAGATTCCTCTAGTATTGAGCAGTCAGTGGCTGCAACAGAGTCAGTCGACGAGTCTGGACCACCAAACAAGAAGCGTCAAAGAATGACGAATCAACAGCACCAGCCTGAAGAATACCACAGCTCAGCAATAATTCACCTCGAAAGCTTCCTGGGGTCGGCTTCCGCAAGCGAAGGCGTTGGTGGCGGACTGGAAGAACTGCAGGCCGTCTTACTGTTGGCAGGTCTAGCACTGCTGCGACCCGTCGCTCCTGGCTTGTGGTACATCATTGGTGTCGCAGTTCGGCTGAGTATTGATCTTGGGCTGCATTTCGAGGAGATCGACCACGATCTTGACAACAGAGCCACACATCCCGATGGCGACATGTCCAATGACTCACTTGGCCGCAAGCAGTGGACACGGGACGTACGCAGAAGGCTCTGGTGGTGTGTCTTTAATCTCGACAGATTGGTGTCTTCTTGTGTCGGAAGACCGGTGTCGGTCAACGAGGCAGTGGTGACGACTGAGTTCCCCAGTATGCTGGACGATAAATACATCACTCCCTCGGGCTTCTACAAGCCACCGAACTATGCAGAGCGACCAAGCTACAAGCTGATCACGCGGCATTACATTCGGCTCCGACTACTGCAGTCGGAGATTCTGCAGGTCTTGCAACAGCGACAAGCTGATCAAGCGCGGAGGCTGGGTGCTAATGCTGGCAATGACTACATCCTCAGTGGACTTGGTTCGCCATTTTTGCAACCATTCCACTCATTCCGCGACTGGCGGGCGAATATTGATCGTAGGCTATTGGAGTGGAAAGAATCCTCACCACAACAGTACGACACCGGCGTGAGCTTCAACCCACTGTTCCTGGACCTGAACTATTGGCAAGCTGTGATTATGCTGTACCGCCAGTCGCTATCTGTTCCAGAGCAACTCGCTAGCGAGTTGAGTCCAGCAACAGGAGAAGATGTGCAAAGCCCAGGTAGCGTGAACTTTGAGCTTGAGGAGGACAAGCAGATGGTTTTCATGAAGGTCGCCGAGGCCGGTCAAATGGTGCTGAGAATATATCGGCAACTGCATAGATTGAAGCTGGTGAACTACACGTTCCTTGCTACGCACCATCTGTTCATGAGTGGTAAGTCGAAGCTTACAACCTTGCATGTCATCAAACTGACCTTTCCAGGCATCTCTTTCCTTTACGCTATATGGCATTCGACCCTCGTCAGGTCCCAGATGACCATCGACGATGTAGACTTCACTGTGCTCGCTGCAACATCTGTTCTCAGCGACTTGATACCCATGTGTCCGCCCGCTGAAGCATGCCGAGACGCATTCGTGCGCATGAGCAAGGCCACGATATCCATGGTAATGAGCACGACAGGATTCGGCAACCGGTCGACATGGGACACTCAATCCCTCAACAATCCAGACGGCTACTTTGGAGGAGGCAATCCAGCAGTGAAGCAAGAAGCTCGAACGCCCCACCAAAGCCGCCGACAGCTCCCCAAGTTCGATATGAATCTCAAAGATTTATTCTCGGAAGAAGAAATCGCGAGCCGCCCGCTGCATCATCAACCCAAACTGCAAGGATTCTTGCGACATATTCCGAAGCAGCCTCCAATTTCTCCGCAACTCCCCACCAATACCAGCCCACGGGCAAGCACTGAGGCTAATGCGACCCAGCCCACGCAACAACTGCAGACTTTGCCGCAAGCGAGTCCGCCACTCCCAGTATCCAGTTCGTCAGCATCCTTGCGACCGCCTTCCAGGAACCAGCAGCCGCAACAGCCTGCGTACCAGCAAGCCTCACCGTTCGTGGACAACTCAGCGTCAGCAGGAGCAAACGCCTCGGAACCAGACTACTCTTTCGACAACCTGGATTTTCTCAACGACTTCTCTCTGACAGAACCGGGCAACAGCGGCAGCAACGGCGGTGCCAGCTTCTGGGGTCAATCTCATGCAGGAGATGGCACAGACCTGGGGTTCAATGGGGGCGTTGCGAATGGCGGTTTCGCTGACGACAGCGGGGCCTGGGAAGCATCGGGAGAGGTCTTCGATGCATTTTTCTTTGGTTCTGGAAGTGGAGGAGCAAGCGCGTACTGACCTGTCGATCGATCTTCACGCGGGAAGCATCTATGGTACGCCCGAGGCGATGTGGATGATACCACAAAATCATTGTATAGCTCAGCCTAAAACTGCCAGGGGAACAGTGCGAAAGGGCTCATGTCTCTCGAGTATTTGTCAACTCCATCGAATCCTCTACATCATCACTAGACCTGCTAACCGACAGTTCCATTTCAATACAGTTGCAGAAGCCCTCATCTAGCTACGCTGCATACCCGCGGTCCTGCAGCCACCATCATGAAACAGTATACTTCCATGTTCACGTTCACCTGCACGCGAGGTCATGCACGTCGAACGTGCAACAGTGCAGAAACACGCACTCTCCACCAGGATCTGCCTTGCTGCAACCCAATTCTGGCACACACACAATGCACACACATGCAGACACACACCCTCGTCCCGTTTCCCATGCCTTTTACAGTTCCGCGTACCGGGCTCGAATGACAAGAAACAAGGCTCCATGACATTGAGATCTCGGGTCGGCCTGGCCGAGGAAGGCAAATCAGATCGCTGGTCGGTCAATCAAACTGCATTACTAACGATCCTGCGCTGATGAATGCATTGCATATTGCATATTGCATCTCGTGCCGCGTACCGGGCTTTTCTTTCAGCTAGCTAGCTCTGGCTACCTCCTACTTTGCACCCATATTCCTGTGAATCGAAGCTGCAGCTTCGCGGTACCTTCCGTGAAGATCTTGGCTCTCGTATGCTATGCTGCAGAAAGAACAACGGCAGCGGTGAGGAACAGTTAGTTAGACGGGTCAACGGTGGATTTCGCAAGTCTCGGCATACGTGACAATGCAGCTGTCAAGAAAGAGAAAGTCAAGCGGAAGGAATGTGTCGCGTGAGCCGGAACGTACTGTAGCTCCATTTCAAATATATTGGCCTGCTCTGCGCGGATCTGCGGCGAAGTCGTTCCTTCCTTGCGTCCCAGAAAGCTCGTCGAGCTTGGCATCAACCAGACGGGAAGGAGCGAGCTGTGCGGGCTGTGCGAGCTTCGCCAAAGGCAGATCAGATCAGCTCAGATCAATCGAAGCGAAGAACTTCTGCGATGAAGATCGAAAGGCGGGAAATGTGAAAGAGTGTAGTAGACATTAAAATGCTCGCAAGCATTTTTGCATTTCATGATTGTGTAGAAATCCGCCAATTATGCCTGTGTCTGGTAGCGATCAGAATCTATCCATCGCTTTCCCACCTCGCTACCTATTCCTTTTCCACCCCATTCCGTCTGCGTACAAGAGAAAAATTCCAAAGGGCCCGCTCAGTGGGGCCGTCTACTGCCAAAGGGTATCATCTAGCGCCTGTTCCCATGCTTTCGATTGCCCATTGCAACAAGAAAAAATGTCAAAGTCGCCCAAACTGCCTCCCATAAAAAGTGAATCCCGCAAATGGGTTCAAGCAGAATCCCTCATAAAACACCGATCCAACGTGAGTCGGCAGCCTGCCCTTAATATTGATGCTCCGCCCCTAAAGTAGGCATACCAAAAGTCGCTCAGAAAAAACCTCCCAGTGATGTCGTATATGAACAGATAGTACTCGCGTGAAATCCATGTTCTGTAACGTTCAAGCGTGGCACCAGGCCTACGATTTGCTGTCGGAGCGGGTGCGGTGATCTCTTCGGATGTCGAGAGAGAATCGGATGAGGAGCGGCGAGCTGGGCAGGGCGTCGGGGGAAACGTTGGCGTCTTCGGCAACGGCCATGCCTGAGCCGTACTCGGCGGCGTTCGCAATGTCGGATGCGGTCGGTGGTGGTTCCGGGGTTTCCTTCTCGGAGACGAAGGTGCGTCGCTTCTCTTCGACCATGAACATGCTGATGATGCTGCCGATTGCTGCAACCAGCACATTGACCCACCAAGGCAAACCAAGAGTGCCCAGTGAGAGACCTGCCGCTTGGAGAACTCCAGAAACGGTAGGACCGAACGCTCGACACGCGCTCGCGGCCGATGCAGCTGCACCGTTCAACGAGCCGAGGACTTTGCTGGATGGTGCCGAATTGGCCAACATGATACTGCTGGAGGGGAACGCGAATGCCTGTGCTGTGACTTTCCAGACCAGTGCGACGTAGACCAGTGGAAGTTTGAGGGAATCCGGAGCGAGCGAGAGATATGGTACCATGAAGTACAGGAACGGGTAGGACATGACGACCATGCGATAAGTCCATAGGCTGCCAATCTTTCGGTTGACAATGGGAAAGATGAGGATCGTGGCAATCATCTGAATAATGCCTTGAACGGAGAGAATGCCGCCAATTGTCTTTGTCGATAGCTCGAAGCCTCCGGTGAACTTAAACGGTAGCTGTGGTGCCGCATCGGATTTCGGCATACTGAGAAGTACGGGAAGAAGCTGCTCGGCGGAGATGGTGTGACTGCGATTCATGTTAGCTAGGATATGGGTGCGGGCGTGCGTCAAAGCTTACTATGCCAGGATACCGTATCCTGTAATGTTCAGGATCACCTGTCGTGTAAACGCATTCGCGATGGCGGACTTTGTTTTCTGCTCTTCTTCGTCGTGTGCAAGCGCCTCCTCCACGTCTCTTTGGAGAGCCAGTTCGTCGTTGGTCAAAGAAGTTCGCGGCGATGCATCGATGGAGCGGTATGCTGGAGGTGGGAGACCCTCGACACTCGTAGGTGTAAGTTCTGGAGAGGATGCGGTGCTTCGGTAGTCCGGGGGTTGATCGTCGATCAACATCATTGTCTCCTCGGACATTTCACCCTTGCGAGTCGAAAGCCATTCCACTGGTTTGCGCTGAATCTTTGCGAGTATCCAATTGCCAATTTCCAGCCCGACGTCTTTGCGGTCCTTGAGATCTTCGTGCGTCTCTTCGAGGAACAAGATTCCGACGACCATGCTGAACACGACGACCGCGGTGCAAACCAAGTTGGTGAGGAGGTATGGGAATTTGGCGAATATCGTTCCCTCGTGGAACATGTCTGGGTAGTTGCGCACGGGATCGGCGAGGGCACCGCCCAGACCAGCACCCACGAAAGCGCCCATGCACCAGACCGTTGGCATGATTGCATAGGCACGTGCTTGGTGCGCTTCCACCTTGACGACCTCATTGACGGTGGTTTGCAGCACGCCAATGTTTCCATTCAATGCTCCGCCGAGTGCTCGAGCAAGCAATGCCACGGGAAGGTTTGGTGCGAAGCCGAACATGAGCATGCTGATGCCGGTGCCAGCCAGGCCGGTGAGGAGGATGGGTTTGCGTCCGAGTCGGTCGCTGAGGCTGCCCCAGAAGCCAGCACCCAGGCATTCTGCAGCTGCAAAGACAGAAGTGACGAGGCCGGCGTAAAGAGCGATTCGATTGTGGTCGTCGGTGATGTGGAATGATTCGATCATGTAGTAGATGTACGGGAAGATGGACATGAAAGCGATGGGCTCGCATATCCGACATAGTCCTGGCATTGCGTTAGCATGGAGTGTTTGCGAGAGGCACATGGACAGAGCACGCGTACCCAGTACAAATAGCTGGCGGAAGGGAAACGCCTTGGAGTCGGGCGTCGTTGTGGTATAGCGAGGCATGGTGGGTGAGAGTGCAAGCGATGGTCGAGCTGCGGTAGGAGTGTGCCAGCGGCAGAGGGAGAGAGTGTGAGGTTGTGCCAAGCGCAGAGGAAGGACGATGGGGGAGAGCAGGCGCGAGGCGGTATATGTTAGGTGTCGTGGCGGGAGCGGTCAAGCCAACATTCGGTGAATAGGTAGAGTGGAGAGCGTGACGCAGGAGGGCGGCCGTGTACAACACAGTGCAGCTGGAGTGATCTTGTTCGGACGGAGGAGCAGCAGCAGGAGCGTAGGGGAAATTGTCAAGGCCTGCAGGCGTGGGCGCGAGGTAGTAGAAGAGCTGGCGTTTCACTCCAGACAATCGATAAGGGCCGGGCGACGGTGCTGGCCTCCCATCATCTTCGCACACATCACCGCGCTGCCAGATCCAAGGTACGCGGGCACCAGGGTTGCCCCTGAACTGCAGCAGCGCGCGACACGGCCTGCGGATGCAGCACCTGCGAGCCGGTCTGGGGCTCCGGGAGTGACGGCGCGCGCGATGGCAGCGAGAGCCGCAGCCCACGGTGCCTGTCGCTGCTCCACGCATGTCATCACGGCTCTGCCACCCACACGGCGATCCTGTCGTGGCCGCTAGGAGGCCATTTCCCTGGCCCGACGAGCCTGCAGCTAGATCGCATACCAACACCGGGGGTCTGGGAAGCCGTCCGCGCCCTGTGAGTGGCCAGCGGCCGATCGGGGAAGCCGGACCACGCCTTCGCTGCCACTCCCACCGTCTCCAAGGCGTCCGGCAGTCGTCGCGCCCGGCTGCAGCGAGGCGAAGCGGGCGTGCAGAAGTGCCCGCCC